GGAGGGGTTGGACATGGGGGACCCAGCCCCTTAACCACCATGCCACTGGCTAGCCCCCATAAGAATTATGAACATGGTATTTGTTTGGTGTAACTATGACGTTTAACTGTCTGATGAAGTCTTTGCATTGCTTGAGGAGGAGTAAGAGATAAGATGGATAAATAAGGGACCAATTATGGAGACCAGGCTGTGAATGTCAAAAGAAAACTTTTGTTGCTGTTCTTGTGGGCACTTGGAACTATGGGGAAAAATCTCAACTTTTCAAAGTTAGGACTTAGAGAGTACTGCTAGCAGTGAATAAAATGGAAGAAGGGAGAGGTTGAGAAAAACCAAAAGAATATAGGTCAACAAACACAGCATAATTCTGAGATTTTTGACTCATGATAGCAGTAGAAATCAAGAGGAGAAAACACAAAAGGTCCTGCAAGAGAAGAAAAGGTATTTGGTGATTGACCAGTCACGAGTAATAAGACTGTTCCTTAAATTTTGCACTGAGCTCTTTCTTAAAACTATGTAAAGGTGAAAATAAACGCTGATGTGCCAGAAAAATTAATTTCTGGAGAAAGACATCGATAAAGGTGCTTTGAGTGGATTGCAGAACTGTGGCTGGAAGTTTTCAAAGGGAATGCCTTATGCCTATTATTGTGGCTGCTTAGGAAACACATTTGTTCTCAGACTGAAAACATGAGTTTTCCAAAATACACATACTGTCGTAAAAATTGGGTGGTGGGCAAGGACATGGACACCTTTCTCTTAAAGCTAGAATATCTCATCAGAAGTACAAGTACTAGAAGTAGTGGGACCAGCAGTTAGCATAATGGCTACGTTGCTGGACTCCCATGTAGCCGACCGCGGTTAGAGTCCTGGACCCGGTGACTTAAACCCACGCCGGGCATATGTGCGTGAGTGCCCAAGATCCCAAGAGAATGGAGAAGAAGGGATTGCAGTGTGGCCATCTCCCCTGGGGGGTGATTTCTTGCTTTCTGTCTCTCTGTCTCTCTCTGTATTTCTGGTGAGCGCACACACCCTATAGCAAAAACCTCTGCAAAAAAAAAGTAGTTATCAAGCGTTGCTTTTGGGCTGGCCTCATAGCCTAGTGGTTAAGGGAGCTGAATCCCACATGGTCAACTGTGATTCAAATCCTGGGCCTGGTAGCTTGAAAAACATGCCCTGCATACGTGTATATGTTCCCAAAATCCCGACAGGGAAATAGAAGAGAAGGAATTGTAATGTGACCATGTCCCAAGGGGCTTTTTTTCTCCCTTTCTCTCTCTCTTTCTGTCTCTGCTCTGACAAATGCATGCACTCCCAGGCAATGAGGGGATGAAAAAGGTGTTGCTTTTTACCCAAAAGATAAAGCCTTATGGGGGTAGCCAGTGGCATGCTGGTTAAGGTGCTGGATCCCACATGTCCAACTCTGCCATTTGAGTTCCAGATCTGGTAGCTTGAAAAACACACCGGGCACATGATATGTGTGCCCAAAATCCCAAGAGGCAAATGGAGGAGAAGGGATTGTAGTGTGGCCATTTCTCTAGGGGGGGTGATTTCTCACTTTCACTCTTTCTCTGTCTCTCTCTGGCAAGTACGTGCACACAGCGGCAAAAAATCTTTTTTTAAAAAAAGAAAGATAAAATCTTATGAAACATGAAAGAACATCGCTGAGCTAGCATAACTAATTTGCAAATCAATGGAATATGTGAAATTGCTTGTAATCAAATATTTTCAAACCACTGTCTCATTTTGGAGATATTATAGACATTTATGTTTAGTTGAATTATAAGGTAGAGGGTGTTGGATATTATTTTAAAAGTTTTTGGGGGACAGCAGGTGGCATGGCAGTTAGGGGCGTTGTACATGACCAACTGCAGTTCAAGTCCTGGACCTGGTGGCTTGCTTTCTCACTTTCCCTCTCTCTCACTCTGTCCCTCTCTAGTCAAGTTAAAAATAAGTAAATAAAAAAAGTTAAATAAAATAATTCCTTTATAAAAAAAAAAAAGTAGGCTTGACTTTGAGAACAAGGTGAAATTCTACAGGTTATGTAATTCAGTTACATAACTTTAACGGTACATGTGCATGACATTAATGGAACTTACATATCCTGAGTAAGTAAACAAATGTATTTTCCTAGCTGTGGTAATTTATCTTAATGTAAATTGAGAATTCTAATCTTTTGCATTTTTTTCACATGATTGCCTCTCTCCTTGTGAGAGATTGTGGCTTTTCTTCTTTTTTCTTGTTTATTGTCCTTAACTTCACATCAGTTAGGAATCAACATTTACGTGTATTAGATTGAATACTTTCAGAATCCATTGCCAAAAATGTGCCTAGAAACTAGGTTGTTTACTGCAAGGTTCTAAATAGCCCTAATCAAGTCAAGAGTAGTCCAACAACTCATGTGGCCACTAAGAAACTGCCAGAAATCTGATCCAACCCATGCACCTCCCTCTAAGGAAACATATCTTATGTAGTGGTTGGTTTCTGAAGTCATCACACATGCCCAAACCCTTGAGAAATCCTTTTTTTTTTTTTAAAAGAGATTTTTGCATGTAGGCACTTGCGCTCACCAGAGAAACGAAGAGACAGAAAGTGAGAAATCACCCCATGAGGGGATGGCCACACCGCAATCCTTTCTTCTCTCTTCTCCCGTTGGGATTTTGGGCACGCACATACACATGCCTGGCATGAGTTTTAAGCCACCAGGTCTGGGACTCAAACTGCAGTTGACTACCTGGGAGTCCAGTGAGGTAACCATTATGCCATCTGTTGGTCCTGAGAATTCCTTTAAATCACCCACAAAGTATAGTGTACATACTTTGATTTTACTATACCATTGCTCATGACCTTTAAGTCACCCACAAAGTATAGTGTATATACTTTGATTTTACTATACCATTGCTCATGAGCCCTTTTTTTTTAAATTGTGATTTTCAGGCTACCGAACTTGACCCATAGTCAGCCATGTGGGAGTCTAGTTCCTCAACCACCAGGCTATCTGCCAGCCCCTCTTATAAGTCTTAATATAGCCAGATTTTTCTCTAATGTTGACCGGCAATAAACAACAGGTGAAGCAATTAGTCTGCATTTGGGAACATGCTATATGAAAAGGGAAAGGAATCTTTTGTTTTCCCAAGAGGATGTAGTTGTATTTGTGCATGTTAAATGTTCATTGATAAGACTCCACTGTGTTCCCCTCCCAAACCGTGCCTAGATCCAACTTCCTACATCTAGCCCTTTAGCATCTTCATTAGTCTCTTCTGAAGGCATTCATTCCCTTTCATCTTCTTAAATGAAAACTGTTCGTTTTTTCCAGAGCCTCCCTATCACATTAGCATTGGTAGGTAGGACTGGGGTTCTCTTATCCACCTGTGTCACTGTTGGGTCATTACTCTCTGCTCTGTCATTAAGAATACACAGATAAGGTTTATTATCTGTTGACGAGGATGTGTATGGTGGTCTTAACTGGACTGGTCTGAGGTGTATATCATGTTGGGTAAAGTCTCTTCACAATCCAAATGATGTATAGTGATTTAATGTATGAATAATAATAAAAACAAATAAATAAAAATAATATGTTAAGGTTCCTGCCGTTACCTGCCTACTTCATTCTAGTCACTTCCCCCTCATTCTCTGAAGAATAATATCCAACTTACTTTCATCTTCTTTATCCCAAGTTTTGCCATTATCTTGTTTGACTTTTGCATCCTGTTAACCATCCATCATATCCTCTGCCCTCTTGGTTCCTTCATTTCTTCATCTTCTGTGGTATTTCCTTTACTCCACTGTAGCCACCAGCTCCCATGGCCACATCTGGGACATAGTCATCTGGGAAATAGTAAGTTCAGTAGCCTGTCTGACTTACTCCAAGCTCCTAAACTTCCAACCACACTTAATTTTTGGCCATTGGAAGGCTCTCCAGTCTGAACCCTGAACTTTCTGTCAGTCGTCTCCCACCCTCACTTCTTTTCCCCTACAGAATAGACTCCATAACTTCAGTGCTCATTTTCATAGTTCCTTATTTCCTACTCTCCCCTCAGCCCTCTGTAGTCTGACTTCTGCCTCTCCTCTCCAGTGAAAACGGTCTCTCCAATGGGTACCAACACGCACCTTGTTGCCATTACCACTTAAACATTTAGTTTCATTAGATTTTCACATTGAATTCATTCTTGTTTGCTTTCTTTTTTAGGTTTTTGTCATAGGCCACATGTGTTCCCCAATGAGAGACAAAGAGAGGGAAAGTGAGAAATTACCCTCCGAGGAGATGGCCATACCACAGTCCCTTCTGCTTCACTCTCCTCTTGGGATTTTGGGCACAGACACACATGCGCCCAGCATGATTTTTCAAGCCGCAGGGTCCAAGACTCAGACTGCTCAGTCGGCCACATGGGATCCAGCCACCTCAAACACCATGCTACTCACTGGCCCAAACTGTTTCTTTTAAAATTCTGTTGGGCCAGCTCCATAGCCTGTTTGTTAAGGCAGTCAGATCCCACATGGTCAACCCCATGATTTGAGTCCCAGATCCAGCAGCTTGAAAAACACAACACATGTGTGTGCATGCCCAAAATCCTGACAGGATGGGGAAATGGAGAAGGAAGTGAAGTGTGACCAAATCCCCTTGTGGGTGGGGGCATGCTTTCTCCCTCCCCTCTCTCTCTCTGTGGTGAGCTCACATACCCTCTGGCAAAATGAAAACAAAAATTCTACAGTTCTGCCCTTCCTTGGATACTAATCTTTGCCCCTACTTAGTAGATACTAGCGAGACTTTAGTAAAAATAATTTTTTAAGTTTATATAATTTTATAAACTAGATGATATTTAATATGAATTTTCTTCATTTTTAGCTTTACTACTAAAATTTACTTTCCCAAAATAGGCTAATGATGTCATTCAGCACAATTTAGGTTAATTTGCAGTATGTTCTAATTAAGCACAAAAACATTGTATACATAATATGTATATTTTGGTGATAATCATTTGAAAATCAATATTCTTGTTTTACAGTTGAAGCTTTGTATCAGACTACGTACCCAGAATATCTCCAGTACATTTATTTGGTGGCACCAATATCTCTTATGATGTTAAACCCTATAGGGTTTATCTTCTGTGAAATCCAGAAGTGGAAAGACACGCAAAATGCTTCTCAAAACAAAGTGAAAATCGTGGGACTAGGACTTCTGCGTGTACTACAGAACCCAATAGTATTTATGGTCTTCATTGGCATTGCCTTCAATTTTATTCTTGATCAAAAAGTACCCATATATATGGAAAATTTTCTTGATGGACTTGGAAATTCTTTTTCTGGATCAGCCCTATTTTATCTTGGTCTTACAATGGTAGGAAAAATAAAGAGACTGAAGAAGTCAGCATTTGTGGTACTGATTCTTCTCATCACAGCGAAACTGTAAGTTTCACTTATTTAACTTGGAAATTATTTGGGGAAAGCCTTATTTACCACTAGTTTTTTAGGGTGTATCCTCAAATATCCTTACCTTGGATATTAATAATTTCTCCTTGGCCCAGCAGTGGTGGCACATTCTGCTAAGATAGTGTGCTCCACAGGCTGGGATCACATGAGAAGTCCAGGTTCAATTCCTAGTCCAACCTCAAGGTTAAGCATGGTAGCAGGTACCTGTAATCCCAGTGACTGAGGAGGCTGAGTCAAGAGGGTTACCAGTTCTAGTCTAGCCTAGACAACATAGTGATACCTTGTCTTAAAAAAGAGCCAGGTACAGAGGTGTACCTGTAGTCCCAGCTGGGTGACCAAGGCAGGAGGATTGAGACCTGACAAAACCATGTCTTAAAATAGTAACAGTGATAGGGCCAGCCCATGGCCTGGTGGTTGGGGCAGCTGGATCCCACATGACCGACTGCGCAGTTCTGGTCCTGGACCCAGTGACCTGAAAAATAATGCTGCGCACAGGGGCATATGTACCCAAAATCCCAAAAGCGGGGGAGAAATGGAGGACAGGGGATTGCAGCATGACCTACAGGAGTACTTTCCTGTTTACCCTTCCCCTGTGTCCCTCTCTGGCAAGGGCATGTACTCTCTGGCAAAAAATAAATGATAAGAAGAAGAAGAAAAAGGAGAAGAATCCTTTCTTAATAAAGTATTTATGACAAAGGATATTGTGATGTTGGTGTATTGTAGAAAGATATTTCTTTATTCCATGTGGGTTATTCTTTCCATTTTACTGTCAGAGGATAAAGATGATTGGTTTCCTTATAGTTTTTATATAAACTTTACCTAATATTTTATATTGTCCCAGTTTGATCTTATTTTTAAAGGAATTTTGTTGGATTTCTTGGTTTCTAAATCTATTAAAAGCCTAAAAATCAAGAGTCATATGAACCTAAAGAACTGAGGGTGAAACAGAAAATTAGTGAAGTTCAGAACTGGTGAAGAGTAAATTATTATCTCAGTCATAATGAGAATAATGACTTTAAAATTTGCGGTAGGGCACGTGCAACTTCAGAGAGAGAGAGGAAAAAAGTGAGAAAGAAAGGATAGAAAGTGAAAAAGGACTCCTCAGGGGTGATGACCACACCACAATCCCTTCTCCTTCATTCTCCTCTCAGGATTTGGGGGACATACAAATATGTTCCTGGCATATTTTGAAGCTCCTGGGTCCCAGGACTTGAACCATTCAGTCAGCCATGTGGACTCAGCTGTCTTAACTATGCCACCATCTGGCTGGTCTAAGAATAATTTTTTTAAGGGTTTTTGCCATAGGACATGTGCACTCCAGAAAGAGATGGTGAGAGGGAAAGTGAGAAATCACCCCCTGGGGGGAATGGCCACACTGCAATTCCTTCTCCATTCTCCTCCTGGGATTTTGGGCATGCACACAAATGTGCCTGACTTGATTTTCAAACCTCAGGGTTCAGGACTCAAACTGCAGTTGGCCATGTGGGAGTCTAGCACGTTAATTACTGTGCCACCTGCTGGCCTTAAGAATCATCATTTTTAGGGACTGGCAGGTGGTGTGATGGTTGAGGTGCTGGACTCCCACATGGCTGACCACAGTTCAAGTCTCGGACCTGGTGGCTTACTCTCTCACTGTTTCTCTCTCTCTCTCCCCTTCTTTCCTCTCATCAAATTAAATAATAAAAATAACAAAATTCAATAAATAAATATTTTTTAAAAAGTAATCATTTTTAGCATATGCTATTTTTTAAATGAATTTTGAGAAAAATATTCTGTAATTCTAAGGTTGGTTGCACTTTCTAAATGTAGGTAAGTCAATATGAGTGATCACTATAAGCCATCTGATCCTGGCCTGCCAAATAAAAATTTCTTAACCCTCCTTAGTTAATAATTCTTCAGTTTACTTGATTCATTAGATATGGAGTTACACTTCATGGTATGGGGTGACAAAATTTTACTGCAAGGCTATCACAAAGTACTTACAGCATATTTAGCTATAGAATTCAGCTTTTGTGTATACAGTTAAATTTATGAGACCAGTGCAATATGATGTAGTATTTATGTTTTCAAAGTAATTGAAATGAATATGTTAATGAAAGTTATGGTGGTGTCATGTTCTTCAGAAACAAAATATTAATTAGAATTGCCATGGTAAATATAGTTCTAACAATAATAGTATTTATCAACTTCAGTTTATAGTAGGATTTAAATATTCTAATTTTAAATATTTTTTGTGTCTTTGATTCTCATTAGGCATTTATTTGGTTTTAGCATTATTCATTTAGTTTTAGTTATTGTTAATATTATTTCTTAATTTGCTATAGAACACATATGCTCACCGGAGAGAGACAGAGAGAGACAAGTGAAAAAGCAAGCCTCAACCAGGACTTGAACTGCAGTCAACTATGTGAGAGTCTAGTGCCTCAATCACCACACTGCCTTGTGGCCTCAATATTTATTTCCTTTTTAAATAAAAAATACATGTGAGGAACTTACAAAATTCATGGAAAAATATATTATGAAAAATGTATGCATAGATTCCAGGGGTTTTTTGCACCAAAATAAATTTGTACTTTAATTCCATTTTTCCAATAATTTTCTTTGAAGTTCCTTTTTCTAAGAGTAGTTGTTTACTCCATTTATGTCCTTGTTCTAGGTGCTCCTGTGACAATATTTTCAACCTCAGTCTTGCTGTTTTTAATGAAGAGCCTCACTTGGTTAGCTACTGTTAATGTGTTCTTTTTGTGGAATCCTGAAGGATTTATTTAATAATTGTCTCTTCACCAGTTCTGAACTTCTCTAATTTTTTGTTCCACTCTCAGTTCTTCAGGTTCCCATTCTTAGACCTTTTTGTGTTTACAAAGATGAAGAGCTAATGAGAGTTATCTTTCTACTGGTGTTTAGAATCTTACTGAGCAGCATTGTTGTCATTAACTGAACCATTTAAACTCTGATCATAACAAATTCAGCTTTTTTTCTTTCAAAAAAGAGTTTACTAATTCTCTTTAAAGAAGTTCTTAAACTGTCAGCCTTTTCTTTTTCTTTTAACATTTTAGTTATTTGGTTTTAGCATTATTCATTTAGTTTTAGTTATTGTTAATATTATTTCTTAATTTGCTATAGAACACATATGCTCACCGGAGAGAGACAGAGAGAGACAAGTGAAAAAGCAAGCCTCAACCAGGACTTGAACTGCAGTCAACTATGTGAGAGTCTAGTGCCTCAATCACCACACTGCCTTGTGGCCTCAATATTTATTTCCTTTTTAAATAAAAAATACATGTGAGGAACTTACAAAATTCATGGAAAAATATATTATGAAAAATGTATGCATAGATTCCAGGGGTTTTTTGCACCAAAATAAATTTGTACTTTAATTCCATTTTTCCAATAATTTTCTTTGAAGTTCCTTTTTCTAAGAGTAGTTGTTTACTCCATTTATGTCCTTGTTCTAGGTGCTCCTGTGACAATATTTTCAACCTCAGTCTTGCTGTTTTTAATGAAGAGCCTCACTTGGTTAGCTACTGTTAATGTGTTCTTTTTGTGGAATCCTGAAGGATTTATTTAATAATTGTCTCTTCACCAGTTCTGAACTTCTCTAATTTTTTGTTCCACTCTCAGTTCTTCAGGTTCCCATTCTTAGACCTTTTTGTGTTTACAAAGATGAAGAGCTAATGAGAGTTATCTTTCTACTGGTGTTTAGAATCTTACTGAGCAGCATTGTTGTCATTAACTGAACCATTTAAACTCTGATCATAACAAATTCAGCTTTTTTTCTTTCAAAAAAGAGTTTACTAATTCTCTTTAAAGAAGTTCTTAAACTGTCAGCCTTTTCTTTTTCTTTTAACATTTTAGTGAACCAATAGAGGAAGTAGGGATGCAGCTATAATTGCAACTTTCACTGATTTTTTTGCAAGAAAATTTTCTATAGAACAAAAAGAAAATTCAATTTTTTTCCTTCCTATTCCCTTATGTTTGAAGTATTTCCAGAATATTATTACACTTTAAATGGCTACAAATTGAATTCTTGGTTCTTTCAACAAAATGTCCACCAATAGGCATGCACAGGGTATGTGTATGCAAATAGATATACTTTCTGGGTAGGAGAAGAAGTTCATGCCCAGTTCAACCTCAGCAGTCTACTCACTTGGGGACTCATATGCTTTGGTATTAATTAAATGCTGCATTTCTTCTTTCTGCAGCCTGGTGCTGCCACTTCTGTGCAGAGAAATGGTGGAACTCTTGGACAAGGGCGACAGTGTAGTGAACCACACAAGTTTATCAAATTATGCATTTCTGTACGGTGTCTTTCCTGTAGCACCAGGAGTGGCTATCTTTGCAACACAGTTCAACATGGAAGTAGAGATTGTATGTATATCATAACTTTCTAAGTTTGATTATTATTGTGGTTAGTAGGAAAATGAATTTGAAAACACAGCCACATTCTTTTCTGATAATTTGATATCTGTAAGCTACCTCCTTTGTAAATAAGGAGGCATCGTGTAACGTTATGTAACAGTAGTTATTTAATCTGGGGACTTTATTCAGCTATGACCTTCTTCATGAATCTTTTTAAATTTCAGGTATTTACTTAAGCGTCAAAGTTGTTTGCATAAAGGTAACTTTCAAAATTTGGGGGGAAAAATACATTTCATTCACCACTAATTCAGCTACCAGCTACAAAATACCACATAACCAACACCAGCAAATAGCTGATATCAATTACAACCAAATTATTGACCATGTCTAAGTGTATTGTTCATACTATCTACAGTATTAAAAGATTTTAAAATATTGATATGAAGGCACTAAATGATTTTATAAAGGTCATTTTCATTATTTTATCCATAAATTGTTTGCATAGTAATTTTTCTCTTTTTGAATTGCTGTTTTTTGCCCTACATTTTATGAGATGTAACTCTTCATGGGTTTAATTTGATTACTGGTATGGTTTACTTCCTGAAACCTAGATGATAACCATCGGCAGTGGAATTTCTAGCATTTGTTGAGCATAGTTTGGAAGAGGAGCTAAGGGAATTGGAACCATTTTCTTTTAAGGGCTCTCAGAAAGGGGAAATGTGGTATTAGATAATATGCTGAATTCCATGTCTTTATTGATTCTTGTTTTTATTTTAGAATGTTTAGTGTTCTGTGGATTTTTAAAGTTTAAAGTAATTGTTTAAGTGAGATTGTGACTCCCCATTTTGATTTTACTTTTTCAGATAACCTCAGGGATGGTAATTAGCACATTTGTGTCTGCTCCAATCATGTACGTTTCTGCCTGGTTACTGACCTTTCCCACTATGGACCCTAAGCCATTGGCATATGCCATCCAGAATGTTAGTTTTGATATAAGTATTATAAGCCTGGTCTCCTTGGTAAGTATGGATCGCTGTATAAATGAATGGAAGCCACAGAACGAATTTGAACATAGCTTAGTAATAGAAAGAGATTGTACAATCTAGTTTCTTATGAAGGAGAAGGCTAGTCTGCCTGTAATATATATCAGCCTTCTGATTGACTGAGTTTTAGAGTAGACAAAAAGTTGAGAGTGGACAAAGTATGTCATTTTGTTAGACCTAGATTTGACTCCTGGCTCTATCACAAACTAGCTGTATGTCTCTGAGAAATTAACCTAAGCTTCTATTTTCTCCGGTATAAAATAAAGATGATAATTTCCATGGCTTGCCATAAGGAATAAATGAGACAGTATATGTGAAAAGCATTCTGCGAATAGTAGATCACTATAAATCCTAGCTGTTGTCTTATAAAATAATGGGGCCAAAAGGGATCTTTGGGATCAAGAAGTCTAACTACCCATTTGATATTGATGATACTTTAACCCCTCATATTAAGTATATCTATTCAAAGTAAATAATCAAGCATTTGACAACTAGAGTATCTTAAGCCCAAGTTGCATATTAAATTGAAATAGTATTCTGGCTGATAAAACAACAATGTTTATGATTAAAGGAGAAGAGGTGAGGATGAACATGTATATTGACAACAAATAAATGCTTGTTAATGTAATTTTTAAAAATTCCACTTCTGTCTTATATTTTAAAATATATATATAGCCATTAACTATAGTTAACAATAATTGGTTACATATTTCAGAAGCTAAAAATGTAATGGTAAATGTTTGAGACGATAGCTATGCTAATTACCCTGATTTGATCATTACACATTGTAGTTACATACTGAAAAATCACACTGTACTCTACCACTATGTATAGTTATTATGTGTTAATAAAAAAATAAAAACGACACCTATTGATAATAGGGTAGTTTGGGGAGAGGAAGACTATGGAGATTTCCATTGACAATGAGGAAATCAACCAATGTACCTAACTGTCCACTATGTAGATGGCTAGAATCCCAATCCTTTTGAATTAAGAGTGCAAGATAGTTTATCGTAGGGTGGGTGGCATGTCTTGTCTGTAGTAACATAACCTGGAACTTAGGTACCTCGTGAACCAATATGGTGGAAATGGAAGAGGAAAATTTAGAATATGCATTGTAATAAATACTATATGTAATTCATATAACTAATATGCCTCTCCTGTGAGCACTGCTCTCCTGAACAATTGGCTATCACCCAGTATCCTACCATAGCCACTGAAACCAGGCATTATTAGAACATGGCCTAGTAAAGGCATTAGTTTTTAAAGATATGGTAATTTTTTTTTGAGAGGTTTTTGCCATAGGGCGCGTGTGCTCGCCAGACAGACAGACAGAGACAGAGAGACAGAAAGCGAGAAATCACCCCGGGGGGGGGGGGGGATGGCCACGCCGCAATCCCTTCTCCTCCGTTCTCCTCTCGGGATCTTGGGCACGAACGCACATGCGCCCAGCGTGAGTTTTAAGCCACCAGGTCCGGGATGCAAACCGTGGTCGACTACATGGGAGTCCAGTGATGTAGCCGTTACGCTAACTGCTGGTTCCAGATATGGTAATTTTTGGACAGTTAATTTACTGTGGGATCTCTCCATGATTTTTATTTTATTTTGGATATAGCAATTTACCTTACTACCCATTTTGGAACTAGACAAGTTAAAGTAAAAAAAAAAAAAATCCAGTTTCTTTCTGAACTAGAATAAAGACAATTCTTTTTTTTTTTTTGGAGAGGTCAGACGATTCTTTAAAGAAACTAATTAGTTGCTTCTTTAAATGTATTTATTAAATGTTATTTAATAAGAAATTACAAAGATTAAAAAACATTAACTTTTAAACCTTTTGTCTTTAAGATCTGGTCTTTGGCTATCCTCCTTTTGAGTAAGAAGTATAAACAGCTTCCTCATATGCTTACGACTAACTTACTCATTGCTCAGGTTAGTAAACCTACCAATATTTAGATTCACGCTTTTCTCATAGATTATTTTACTGTAGAGAAGAAAATTATTTTGCTGGTTTTTTGCAGTTATAAAATCAGAAGTATTACTGTGACTAATTGCAATTCAGTTATAATGAGTTTATGCCTAATATATTAAGTATTGCAATGGGTCTTGAGCTATTGAAAGTTGAGACTAATGATAGCATTTGATGAGCAGCATTTTTAATTTTTAATTTTTTTTTGGAGATGTTTTTGTTATTAGAGTGCATGTGCTTGCCAGAAAGACAGACAGAGGCTGAGAGACAGAAAGTGAGAAATCATCCCCCAGGGGGGATGGCCATGCCGCAATCCCTTTTCCTCCATTCTCCTCTCAGGATCTTAGGCATGCATCCACTTGCGCCCAGCTTGAGTTTAAGCCACCAGGTCTGGGACTAGAATCGCAGTCGACTACATGGGAGTCCAGCAACATAGCCATTACACCATCTGCTGGTCCCAATTTTTATTTATTTTTAATTGGTAGAGAACATGTGTACTTATCAGAGACAGAGAAAGAGAGAGGGGGAGGGACAAAGTACCCCCCCAGAGGAGCATAGTCATGCCTCAGTCCCTTCTCCTCCCTCTCTCCATCCTGTCAGAATTTAGGGCATATGTGCTCAGAATGCTTTCCAAGCTACAGGGGCCAGAACTCATGGTCAGTCATGTGGGATCTGGGTCTCCTAGCTGGCTTGCTTACTATGTTTTATAATGGAAAAACTTGAACTCTTGCAATTTTATTACTTTTTTTATTCCACAGTACACATGCCTTCCCCAGACAGAGAGAGAGAGAGACAGAATGAGAAAGTATCCCAATTGGCGGGGGGGGGGGGGGGGATCATGCCACAATCCTTTTTCCTCCATGTTTCCATCATGTCAGGATTTGAGGCATGCCTGCACACATACCCAGTGAGTTTTTCAAGCTGCCAGGGTTAGGATTTGAACTGCATCAGCCACGTGAGACCTGGCTTTCTACGCATGGGGTTTAACCACTGTACTACAGGGCTAGCTTGCAATCTTATTTTTCTAGTTAAATTTTTGCACACCTCCAATTATTATGGAAAAATCTTAGTATTTCCTATGTAACCCGTAAGTAAATATAAGGTTAGTAGTTAGAATGTGGACAGTATCTATTTCAATGATCTTTTACATTGTTAAAGACTGCATAAAAATGATGGGAAAATTCATTTGGTATCCTGTAATGATACACAGTGATAAATGTATTTTAAAATGCATAAAAAGGTTTTTCTATCACAAGGCTTGAAGTTTTGGTAGAGCTAATATACACTGATGATTATTCAGCAATAAAAAAAGACATAATTATATTTGCTCTGACTAGGATTTATATGAGTATGACTAGCTTAATTATTATTTTCTGTGATACTAGTGGATCATATGGTATTATTAACTATTTACAAAATCTTTTAATCATTTTTTTCTTTAGTCTATTGTCTGTGCTGGAATGATGATATGGAATTTTGTTAAAGAAAAAAATTTTGTTGGACAAATTTTGGTGTTTGTTCTATTATACAGCTCCCTGTATAGCACCTACCTGTGGACAGGTAAGTTGGATCCTGAATGGAATTTGAGGTCTCTTCCCCTCCCCCAGCCCCTAGAAGCCCTTTGCTTTTAAGTGATCTGTTTGAAGTCCGGTAGTGCAGGATCAAGGTGTTCATTCAAGCAGATATGCCCACCAGCACACACACTATGCAAAGCTGAGATCTGCCTCCAGATACACTCTGTTTCTGTCTGGGCACAAGGCCTTTTCCTGTCACATAGTTCTTTTCCTCAGGGTCTTTGGCTCTGGGCCACTGAGCATAGCTCCTCTTCAGAGACATCAAGAAAGCAGGCTCTGGAGGCAGGTAGAGAAAGGAGGGAATGGACTGAGGTGTGTGTGGTATGCCCCAGAGCTCACTAAATTAGAGTCCAGCTGAATGGAAAAATTGGTGTTTTGCCTTAGGTAAATAACTTACCTTGGGAGCCGCAGTCCATTTCTATAAAACTGGGTTACAGTACCTTATAGAATTACTTTGAGGAAGAAATGAAACGTGGATATTTATGTCTGGTATATTGTAGGCACTCAAATAGAACTATATTAGTGATTAGAAAGAGGAGAAAATAATAATACAAGAACAAGAAAAGTAGAGGAATACAAAAGGTATGGAAATAGGAGAGGACCTAGTAAGAATCCCTGTTTCTCACTTCAGTCAACTTCAAAAAGGATATTCAAATGTTTTCGCACATTGATACTCTGAAGTAGAACATTTATTTGATGCCTACATTCTGGTATGTTTATGAAAAAATTTTGTCTGGCTGTATTGTATTCATACCACAAATTTGAACCTAGAAAAAGGCACATAACAGGAAATTATAGAGTGGTGAGAGGCAAGGGTCAGGAAGTGGCTCTTAGGACAGACCTTTGATTTCACGCCTTCACAATCAAAAGCTGGTCCCTCTAAGTCAACAGGCTTTTGAAGTGAAGCAACAGTGGGTGAGAAATTACAGAATGAGAAATTCAGTGCAAACAGAAGAAGGTTTGTGCTGCTTAAAGGCAGGTACATCTGCATAGCACGAGAGTTTTCATGAGACATCAACTTGAAAGAACCTAAAGACTTTATATTTCCAAATATAGATGAGCCAGTTTGATCTCTAACACACAGGCTTATTCGGGTTAACTTGAGGAGGAGGAAAGCGGCAAGTAGACCAGTGTATCAAAAAGTCTCACATTTCTCTGAAGCCCTCTTCAAGGGTACATGACTAAATCCAGCCAAAAAATGTAGTTCTGATGAAGGTACCCTTTAACTTGCAAATTATTTTGCTACAACGGAATTTTCTGTGTAAGAGTGTTATTTTTAAGTCATTTTGTTCAGCCATTTTCAGTTTCTCTCACTTGCATATCATCCTCACAGTTTTACCTTACCTGCATACCATTTGTTCTGTTTTTCTTTAACACTGACTCACTCTTTTTTACTTTAATCTCTTGAGCTGTGTATCAAAAAACAAAAAAATGAAACAACCAGGGCTGGCAGGCGGCTTGGTGGTTAAGAGCACTGGACTCCCACATGGCCGACTATGGTTTGTGTCCTGGATCTGACAGCTTGCTTTCTCTCTCTCTCCATCCCCCCACCCCCCCACCAACTCGCTGGTCAAATTTTAAAAGTAAATAAATAAACAAAGGTAAATAAAATAATTCTTTTTTTAAAAAAAATCCCTCTTTAAAAAAAAATCCCAGATTTCATATGCTAATTAAAAAGTCTCAAATGCCCACTAAAATAAATGCACAACTCATCAAAAATGTGCACTTTTGTGCCACCTACAGTTTCTACACTTTAGAAACACCAATCTAGTTTACATCCTTCATTTTTCAAATTAGGAGAAGAGGCCCAAAAGGTTAAACTGATTCAGGCCAGCGCTGTCATGGCTTTGACAGTGAGAGTTAAGGCTATAATCCACTTGATCACGTATGGTTTTTCCTACGAGGCTGGAATGAGGAGCATTACAGCTCTTAAGAGTAGGGCTGGCAGGTGATGAGGTTAAGGTGCTGGACTCCCACATGGCGACCACAATTTGAGTCCTGGTCCTGGCGACTTGCTCTCTCACTTTCTCTCTCTCTCTCTCTCTGTCTCTCTTTCTCTCGTCAAATTAAAATAAAATGACTGAATAAATAAAATAATTCTTTAAAAAATTCTTCATACTCAACTAATATACAACTTTAAAACCAAAGCATTTCACATACTATATTCAGCCAAACTACACACTCAGTCATTCTAATTAGCGACACTGATTGTCATGGCGAAGGGGCTTGTTTTGCTAATGTAAATCCCAGATTGAAATGAAAAATGGAACTCACTTCTCTGGTATAGTTCTATCTTATTTATTTAGTCTGTATTTGGCTTACTTTTCACTTCCATATATGGATTATGACATAGTTATCTCACTGCATTTTTTGTTCAATCTACCACAGGACATTTATTTGGACTGTGATATCATTTGGCCTTCAATTGGCTCAAACTTAATATAAAGACCAAATGTAAGCCCTGAAATCATGAGACTGAACTTTGGTTATAAGGGGGACACACAGATGATTATCATTGAAAAGGAGAAATGTATAGCATAATGGCTATGTCGCTGGACTCCTACGTAGTTGACTGCGGTTTGCGTCCCGGACCCGGTGGCTTAAAACTCACGCCGGGCGCGTGTGCGTGCGTGCCTAAGATCCTGAGAGGAGAATGGAGGAGAAGGGATTGCGGCGTGACCATCCCCCCTGGGGGGTGATTTCTCGCTTTCTGTCTCTATGTCTCTCTCTGTCTGGCAAGCTCACACGCCCTATAGCGAAAATCTCTCCAAAAAAAAGGAGAAATGTTCAGGGCTTGAAGAATCTGTCTTTGGATCCACAGATCTCTGGGAAACACTCAGAGTTGAACTCACCTTGTGTCAGAAGGCTGGGTTTCCAGTCCTGCTCTGCCCTCTGCTGGCAATGTGATTTAGGCAACCCTTCATATCCATGTCTATAAAATGAAGACATTAAAACAGATTCTTTCCATCCCTGAAGTTCTAAGAATCTATAGCAGTAGAGAATTTATTTTGAAAGATGTTATTTCTGTAAATAATTGGGTATAATGTGTAAGGAAAGTCCAAGAGCTTGAAAACATGTGTGTTGTATGAAGTTCATATTGTGCTTGTATTAAGCTCCATCATTACACTGGAGACACTTATGAAAGCATAACCTGTGTAAGAATTGTTTATCCTTCTTAGCACCAGCAGAGTGGGGGTGTTTTTATTTTTACAGGTACTCTATATACATTTTTTTTTAATTTTTAAATTATATTTAGATTCTAAACACTCAAATCAAAAGAGTAAAGTAATTGAGCCTTTTGAAAAAAATCCTCATGGATGAAACAAGATTTTTTTTTTTTCTTTTGGAGAGATTTTCACTATAGGGCGCGTGCGCTCGCCAGACAGAGACATAGAGACAGAAAGCGAGAAATCACCCCCCAGGGGGGATGGTCACGCCGCAATCCCTTCTCCTCCATTCTCCTCTCGGGATCTTGGGCACGCACGCACACGCGCCCGGCGTGAGTTTTAAGCCACCGGGTCCGGGACACGAACCGCGGTCGACTACGTGGGAGTCCAGCAACATAGCCATTATGCTAACTGCTGGTTCCTGATGAAACAAGATTTGAGTAAAGAAATAATATAGGAGAGAAAGTGAAAATGATTTTTAATTAAGAAAGCTTATTGCAAAATATTGGGAACAGCATTTATGTAGGAGTAAATTCTAAGGCAAAAATCTATAGACTTCTACAGACTTTTACTGAAATAAACTTGATTTAAAAAAAAAAGTTCCATGATGTCTGATCAAACTTTCAATCTTTATTTCTTGTTCTTAGGCCTTCTAGCCGTTTCTTTATTTCTTTTGAAAAAGCGAGAGAGCGTACAAATTCCTGTTGGCATCATCATCATATCGGGCTGGGGGTAAGTTGGTGGCTTTCTGTTTGGTTCCATGTCTTCATGTACACGGTTACCATTCATTCTCTTTTTTTCTCTCTCAATAACCTTTGTTATTACAGAATTCCTGCCCTACTTGTTGGTGTTCTTTTGATAACTGGAAAACACAATGGAGATAGCATTGACTCTGCCTTCTTTTATGGAAAAGAGCAGGTGAGAAGAGTTTATTGGCAGTTTTTGTCCTTAAGAACTTCTATTTTTGAAAAAAAAAATGTTGATATATCATTTCTTCTGCAAGACAGAGAGCAAGAGAAAGACAGAAATGCGGCACCCCCATAAGGTCTTCATGCCACGATGCACTGCCATCTCAGCTGGGCCAGATCATGGGCACATGCATGGCATGGCTCGCTACTCAGGGAGGTCCCACTTCACAAACTCAGACTGTTCTTATGCGGGTCTAGATGCATTATCACCGAGCTACTGCCTGGCTCCAAAGAAAGTCTCTTTTGAGCTTGTTAAGGTGCCTTGCTGTACCTACATTGAAATGAACTTTGAAACTCTATTCCACCTTATTGCATATCCCTTTGGTTATCCTAGATCATTTTATCATACTTCAAAAACATGGTGAACATTTTACATGTCTAAGTCCATTTTTGCCTGGAGATTTATTTTACTGAGTCTTAATCATCCTTATGAATTATTTTTCCTCTATTAGAGGAAAGAATGATCAATTAAAGTCATTTCATAAGTTGGCAATAATAATGGTCAAATTATTGAGTTGCTTTTTTTTTTCATTTGCTAGAGAGCACGTGCACTCACCAGAAAGAGATGGAGCAGGGAGGAGGCGAGTGACCTCCCCACCACCAAGGGAATGGTCACACCACAATCACAATCCGTTTTCTTCCATTTCTCCATTTGAGATACTGGGCATACACATACACCAAACATGCTTCTCAAACCTCTAGATCTGGGACTTGAACCACATAATTGGCTGTGTGGAATCCAGTCATTTAACCACCATGCCGCTCGCTGGCCTAAGTTACTGACTCTTAATCCTATCATAAATATAAATTATAGAACAAAATGAATCTGTGAAAATGTGCTTTAAAGTATATGGAGTAGGAGGTTCATTGGAACTGCTGAATTTCTTAAAGATAGGGCCTGGTAACATGTTTTTAAAAACCTCTCCAAATGAGTTTTATTTCTTATCCTTTTTTTGTATTTGCAATTTTGTATCTTACTGAGTTTTTGAGAACAAGTAAGAGTGTACATATAAAGGGCTTACATTAGTGCTGGCGTCTAGTTAATACTCAATAAGTATTAGCTATAATTATTTATTTTTAATTCTAATTATCATGAAAAAAGCCTCTAGTTCAGGCCAGCAAGGTGGCATGGTGGTTAAGGCAGGTGGATCCCACATGGCCGACAGCCCTGTTCAAGACCTGGTAGCTTGAAAAACATGCTAGGCATGTGTGTGTGCATGACCAAAATCCCAAGAAGAGAGTGGAGAAGGGATTGCAGCATGGCCAAACCCCCTGGGGGATGATTTCTCACTTTTTCTCTCGCTCTCTCCCTGTTTCTCTTGGGTGACCACATGTACCCTATAGCAAACTTTTTTTAGAAGTCTCTACTTCACTGATACATGTTTGAACTACATTATTTAAAGTTTACTTCTTTATTTCTCCCATAAGAGAAATGACAAGAGTGGGAGACAGAGAAACAAGCGCCCCTAGTAAGGTCTTTCCACTGGGATCCGCTCACAGCCAGCCAAATCATGTGCCTGATGTACACAGAGAGGTCCCGGGATGCATTCTCAGGACCTCCCCATGGGGGTCTGTCCTCACAGAGGGTTGGGGTAACCTTGGTACCACCATGCAGCCCCCTATACTATCTATGAAAGCAAGTGGAAACTTAGAAGTCTTTAAGAAATCATTGAGATTACTTGCAAAGGAAACCAGCGGCTGTGTTGGTAACCAGTTGCTGTATAATGAGAGAAGCATGATTAAAGCAAACCCTGATTTCTGAGGTACCTTCCATTCCTTTTATACTCTTACCCTTCTTAGAGAACCACTTCCCAGAGCATTTAAAGCTATGGAGATGTGATTCCACAGAAGAAGTACCCTGCACCTACTTTACTAAGAGATCAAGATCGTAAAAGGCAGCCTTAACACCTCTTTCTCTCGTTGGCAGATGATCACCACTGCAGTCACCCTGTTCTGCAGCATTCTGGTGGCCGGGGTGTCGCTGATGTGCATGAACCACACCACCCAAGCAGGACGCTATGAAGGTTTCAACCAGTCTCAGAACCACAAAGCAGCAGAGCCTACTGGGAACACTGCTTTTGAGGAGAGTCCAGCACCAATAAATGAACCAGAACTTTTTACAAGTTCTGTTCCAGAAACAAGTATGTCCCTTACATCTAAAGAAATCATTATGTGCCTTTATAACATGTATCTGAAATGTTTTGTTTAAGGGTCCTTCATCCATTCAGAGTATCATAGATATTTGTCAAATGCAGAACTTGAATTGTAGTCGGTAATAGAAGGTAGCTTTCAAATTCATTCATTAGGTTTTTGTTAATAAGCCTTTTTGTGAGGATAATCTTGTTGAATCCTAAAACATCCATGGACCTGAGAGTTTAGAAAGTAACTGAAGAAAGACCCTTCCTAGGAAACTAGAAGCATAGGTTTGTTAATTTAACAACATTGTATCCCACAAGTACCATCAATAAAATGGACTAAAGAAGGCTTATTGCGGTCAGGTTAATGCTATGAGTCAGGTATTACCAAACTATTGTCCTCAGGCCAAATCTCACCCCCACCTGCTTTGGTATGGCTCACCAGCTATGAATGGATTTTACATTTTTAAACGACTAAAAAACAATATTTGAAGAGAGCAAGTATTGGGACCAGAAGTTAGCGTAATGGCTATGTCACTGGACTCCCATGTAGTCGACCGCGGTTCGCGTCCCAGACCTGGTGACTTAAAACTCACGCCGGGCATGTGTGCGTATGTGCCCAAGATCCCGAGAGGAGAATAGAGGAGAAGGGATTGCAATGTGGCCATCCTCCTTGGGGGGTGATTTCTTGCTTTCTGTCTCTCTGTCTCTCTCTGTCTGTCTAGCAAGCACACACGCCCTATAGCAAAAACCTCTTAAAAAAAAAAAGAGAGAGAGAGAGAGAGAGCAAGTATCTTGTGACTCTTGGAAAGTACATGAAATTTAAATTTCCTCTCCATAGTTGTACTGGAACATAGCCATGCTCATTCGTTTATGAACATCTGTGGTTGTGTTTATGCTATAGTGGTAGCGTCAAGTCATCACAACAGAGACTCAGTGGCCTGTAAAGCCCAAAAGACTATCTGGCCCTTTATAGAAGATGTTTGCCAATCACTGGTATATGTGAAAATGCGATCCTAACTAGTAACTTTGTTAAGAGTATTAACAATCTTTATAGAGTTTGCTTCAATTCATGAAAGGAACTCAGCACCAGAGGATGCATTTGGGGTTCATTGGTGCATGGACATTTCATAGATATAAACCAGCATGCTAGGAAGTATAAATGATATTCATTTATTTATCTCTCCCATGAGAAAGACAAGCAGGCACCCCCCCACCACCACCACCACCAAAGGTCTTTACGCTACCATCCACCCCAGCCTCAGCCAGCCCAGATCACAGCCATGCGCTTGTGCACCAGTGTGTACAGGAAGGCCCCCTGATGCAAACCTGGGACCTTCCAATGTGGGTCCAGTGGTTGCCACTGCACCACTGTCTGGCTCTATTTATTTTGTTTCAGGAGTTTGTTGAGGAGAATGATTAATGTTAAAACTATCAGTTGTCAATATCAATAAGTGAAAGATAAGAAGAGTGACAAAAAGAGATAGAAATTTAAAATATTTTCATTTAAAATTTCTTCTAAAAGAAAAAACATTCCACAGATCTTGCCATCTCACATTACCTTCTTCATGATGTATTTGTCCATTTTTCTCTGCAAAATTGCATCATGACTTTCCTGACAACCCAATAGAAGTATATAACACAGTGGTTAAAAACACGGATCTGGGGTCAGCAGGAGGCATGGTGACTAAGGTGCTGGATCCCTCATGGCCAACAGCATGGTTCAAGTCCCAGATCCAGAGGCTTGAAAATCATGCCAGGTGCATGTGAGAGAGTGTCCGAAATTCTGAGAGGAGGATGAAAGACAAGGGATTGTGGCATGGCCATCCTCTGGCAGGGGGGTGGTGATTTCTCACTTTTTCTCTTTCTCATTGGCAAGCACACATGACCTATAGAAAAAAAAAAAAATTAAAAAGTTAAAAATTAAAAAAAAAATTTTTTTTGGAGAGGTTTTTGCTATAAGGCATGTCTGCTCGCCAGAAAGACAGAGACAGAGAGACAGAAACTGAGAAATCACCCCCCCACCCCAGGAGGGATGGCCATGCACAATTCCTTCTTCTCCATTCTCCTCTCAGGATCTTGGACACACATGCATATGCCCGGCCTGAGTTTAAGCCACCAGGTCTGCGACTTGAACCGCTGTGAACTACGTGGGAGTCCAGTGACATAGCCATTACACCAACTGCTGGTCCCAAAATAAAATAATTAAAAAAAAAATAGCCAATAGAGGCCAGACAGTCACACAGCCATAGCACAATGCTCTGCGAGGTTGGCTCGGATAAAAAGGCCCCAGGTTTGCATCCAGAGACCTCTCTGTGTACACTGGCCGTTCATGTCCCCATGACCCAAGACTGGCTAACGCTGGCGTAGATCAGGGCATCAGGACTCTGTTCGGGGTGTTCTCTGTCTCTCTTCCTCTCTCATTCATGGAAAAAACTTTTTAAAATAGTAAATAAACTGTACCATTGAATTTTTTTAAAAATCCTGTTGTCATCTCCAGCAGGAAAACTAACTTGAAACTGTAGTATAAATAAATGGAGAGCCAGAAGACAAATATACCTTATCTCTGTAGGAAATCCTCTGCAATGTCTATACTTCCCACTCCTCTTATCCCACTATTTTATAACAGCTTTCTAAAGTTATTTGTGTAACCCACTAGACTCTCCATGCAATGTCTGACTTGCCTGTCACTAGAGCCTCAGCACCTAGAAGGTATCAGGCTTACTGTGCATATTTAGTAATATTTGTTACATGGACAGCTAGGTGAATGGATGTATATGGCCATCATTTCCCGAAACTACCCTGAAAACTGTTATGGCCACGTGTTTATCTGACTGTTCACCTATGTTCCTGGAAAGAGATTAAAAACCTGTCTGGTTATTCTCCTTCCCTAAATCCTGCTCTCTTCTGCTTTGCTGGGATTAACACATAACCCCTTAGATGTTTACCCTAATCTCCAATCTAGGTAGTCTAAAATAGCTCACTCTCCTCTGCCTTGGGCCAGCCGATGACGTGGGAATTGAGGCACTAGATTCCCACATGGCCAACCACAGTTGAAGTCCTGGACCTGGCAGCTTGAAAATCATGCCAGGCACATGTGAATTCCCAAAAATCCCAAGAAGAGAATGGAGGAGAAGAGATTGTGGCATGGCCACCCCACTGGGGGATCATTTCTCACTTTTCCTCTCTCTCCCTCCAGCAAGCACACTTGCTCTCTGGCAAAAACCTAAACCACAAAGCCTACCTTAGTATGAGATCAAAGGTTCGGTTAATAAAAGAGAAGACTGATAGACTACTCAGATATCCTTCTTATGTTTAAAGGAAGAAACTATCATAGCACAGTACACAGAAGCCACAATCCTGTGTGTCGTGTGTGCATCGTTCCATGTATGTCATTGGAGTGGCCTGTCCTTATATATGTTTCCTTAAGAATATTATCTTAGCTGGTTTAAACCTCTAAGTTTCTGAAGAGGGCTGGGCCAGATGATCTCTTCATTTTCTTTTCTATTATTCTGTAGTTCTATTTTAACCTTGAGATGGATTCAGAAAGACATTTGAAATAGCTTATTATATAGATTGTAGTTTCTATACTTTTGTTCTTCATTTTCAAGAACATCACCAAGGAATTTTAAGTGAATTATCAATGAAAGTTTCAGGCTAAGAATTATTCATTTTTCTAGCATATTAAATTGTAATCGTTTATCACCAAAATGATTAGTCTATTATAATCCACATCACGGAGCGCCTTGTCTATAAATGTGTGTAATGTTTTAATGGACACTGCGTGCAGTTCTCCGACTGTATACAGGTTAATTTACAGCTCTACTGCAGATGTCTCAGTGTGACTTCTGTAAACCAATCTACCTGTAAGTCAGCAAGAGATTTTCAGCAGTATATATTTGAAAAGAAAAAAAAAAAGGATATAATTGTTTTTCCTGCATTCTCTAGACTAGTAGGAGACAGTTATCAAAAGAAATGAGTTTTAAGCTGAAGAGAGGACTTGGATCAATTAATGAAAGTGAGAATTCCATGCTTATCAACCTAGTGTAAATAAACATGGGGTTTGCAGAGTACCTTAAAGAAGAAACGGAAGAGTTTTTGTCAAATAGAACAGGTGGCTGGATAGAGAGAGGTGTAATTGGAGAGCTTTCAGATTCAGCCCAAGGAGTTTGAATTTACTATAGTAATCAATAGAGCACGTGTGCATGTTTTTGAGGAGTGATGAAATTAAAATTGTATTTTAGTAAAGTGTTTGACTTCTTAGTCCCCAAAGCACAGTGGAAACTAGCAAAACAGCATGGATAAAGTATTTTTTCTTGTCTCAACAATGACATGATATGTATAGAAGCTGATCCATTGGCACTCTTCACAGGCTAACTTCTAAATAAGCACACGTGAATACGTTTTTAAAGATTATTTATGTGCATGAGAAAGATCGATTATTCAGTGATTAATTGAATTTTGATAGAGTCTCGCCATGTCCAGATCTTCTTGCCCCAGCTTCCTAGCTAGCTAGAACAGCAGACATGCACCACCACGCCGTTCCTGTTCCAGGTTGGGCAAGGAGCCCAGCCTGGGCCTACTGTGTGGCCTCAGTCTCTGCGTAGTAGAGTCTAACCAAGCGAGCCACAGCAGCTGAACTTTAATATTTTTTGATACATACCATGGCAAACATTTCCACTGAGATGCATGTGAAGTTTATATTGAGTGGGTTTGTTTGGTTTTGTTTGGCATCTCTCGAACTTGTCCATTTCTGTTGTGATTAGGCTCTCTCTTGACATGCTCTTTCATCTATATAGGTTGCTGTTCCTGCTCCATGGGAAATGGTGCATTACACTGCCCATCAACAGAGACAGTAGCAAACATAAGCACCAGTGGGTCTGTGACTCCTTCATTTGAGAAAAGTAAGTGCCCCTGGGCTCTGAGGATGGGTTTAAGGAACACAAGATTCCTTGTCCGTATGCTCAAAAGAACTCTATATAGAGTTTCTATAGAAGCAAGCCAGCTCTGTAGCCTAGTGGTTAAGGGAGCCAGATCTCAAATGTCCAACCATGTAGTTCAAATCCTGGCACTGATGATTTGAAAAACAACACTTTGAGCCTATGCACATGTGCTCAAAATCCTGACAGGATGGAGAAATGGAGAAGGGATTGTGACATGACCATGCCCCTTTGGGGCCTTGGGAATTTTGATGTCACAAAACACATGAGTTTTAGGAAAGAAGCATACAAATAAAAACTAATAGTTTAACTGAATGTCAGAAGGAGTTTTCTATCAGAAAAAAAAAATTAGTGAGGGCTCAATATTGATGTATTTTTATACCTTCCTATGGAAACATGAATTCTACTATTACTAAGATTCATTCCTAGGGCTGGCCCTGTGGCCTTGTGGTTAAGGGAGTTCAGTGGTCAGTTGCAGTTGAAATCCTGCCCCCAGTGACTTGAAAAACACATCAGGCACATGCATGTGCATTCCCCAAATCTTGACAGGATGGAGAAATGGAAGAGAAAGGATTGCGGCATGACCATGGCCCACTGAGGGTGCTTTCTCCCTCTACCTGTCTCTCTCTCTCTGGCAAGCACACACACCCTCTGGAAAAAATAAGAAAACAAAATAATATCAGTTCCTGAAAACTTTTAAATGATAAGTCTTCTTGGATCTTCTGACTGTATTTTGCAAAAATCTATAGAATAAGAGCCATTGTATATGGACTTCATCAAATCATACAATTTAGTATTACTCCTAAGCCTGAAATAAATCAGAGAGTTGAAAGAAATCAAAGTGTAGAAAAATGAGAATTTTTAGAGTTCAACAATATAAATTAATTCTCCACCTCCAGGCACAGTACAAAGGCAAAACAGTTGCATTTAAATTGTTGAATGGCAAGAGTATGGAAAAGACAAAGATAGTAAAAGATATTTTTACCCATTTTTGTAATATCTATACAAAATATAGATATTTTATTATTTATTATATATACCAGGTTTATTATATATACTTCTAGAATTTTAAGTTTTATTTTATTTATGATAGTGAATACTTGCTTGCATGAGAGAGAGAAGCACCCTCAACAGGGTCTTGTCCCACCTCTCTCCCAGCCCTCCAGTTCACAGGATCTTGAGCATGTGTGCATATTCACTCTGCATGTTTTCAGCTGATCCAGGGATCCAGACCTGCAGTTGGCCACGTGGCTTCCAGCACTGCAGTTACTCCACCAGGCTGGGCCAATGCTAGATTCTGTTTAATGGTGGTATATATCTTTCTCTAAAAAGTGGCTTCAGGAAGTATGATTTTTTTTTTTTAGCTTGAAGGCAAGAGCTATAAATCTAGTTTTTAACCACTGTCTGTCATAAGACTATACATTAGGCTACATATTTATTTTGTAAAAATGTTCTCTTTTACTTTGACTGCCATATATAGAGTATAGCTGAGGCAGAAGAACAAAGGTTTCTTTTTTTTAATTATATATTTAATTTTATTTATTATTATTATTCAGTTTGACCAGAAGGACAGAGAAAGAGAGAGTTAAAGAGGGAGAGAGCAAGCTGCCAGATCCAGGACTCAAACTATAGTTGACCATGTGGGAGTCCAGCAACTTAACCACCATGCCACCTACCAGTCCCAATACAAAGATTTATTGTGAAGAGTCCCTCAGCTTTAGTTTATGCCAGAGAAGAGTTATGCCTGTGATTTGAGTTTGTCTTTTATATGTGAATAGTATCATAGTATATGTTTACATGATTCCTTTAAGGCCATTTCTCAGGCAAATTACAAACTCTTTAATAAAAGGCAAGAGTTGGGACCACCAGATGGCATAGCAGTTACTTCACTGGATTCCCATGTAGTAGACCGCGGTTCAAGTCCCGGACCCGGTGGCTTAAAACTCATACCAGGTGTGTGTGTGTGTGCCCAAAGTCCCAAAAGGAGAATGGAGAATGGATTGTGGTGTGGCCATGCCCCCTGGGGGGTGATTTCTCACTTTCTGTCTCTCTCTGTCCTTCTCTGTCTCTCTGGCAAGCACACATGTCCTATAGTAAAAATCTCTTTAAAAAACCAATTAATTAAATTAATAAATTAAATAAATAAATAAAAGGCAAGAGGTAATGGTAAATTTATTTTATATTTGGCCAAAAGCAGGATAAGCATGTAATATTTAAATTTATTACATATTAATGATAAAACTTTAGTTTTTAATTTGGCCTTTAAAAATTATAAACATATAAAATTATATAGTAAATGTCATAGTATAATTACATGTTATGTTGTATAATTACATATACGCATATACTTATGTGTGTGTGTGTACACGCACAGTTGAATAGTACAAAGGGAACAATTGCATACTACTTGCATTTTTCAGATAGAAACACTCTACAACTAAAACTCTCCTAAAACAACATGAAGGCGCTTTCCTCCAATTTCATCCAAGATAATATACTGATTCTTAGCTGAATGTGCTTTTTTGTTGTGTCTGTTAGGAAGTCATTACAAATTTAAAATGCATTCCAATAAAAAGCTCTGATTACAGATTGTCGTGCTTTCTGTTTTATAGATGATCATTGTGTGAGTCGCTGCAACTCTCAGAGCTGCATATTAGCCCAGGAAGAAGAACAGTATCTGCAGAGCGGGGACCAGCAACTGACTCGACATGTGTTGCTGTGTTTACTTCTCATTATTGGCCTGTTTGCTGTAAATGTTTCTTCTGGTTTTGTTTCAGGGTCATTTCTTTAAATGTTTGGCAAAGGTTTTATTCAGGCATCTGGGAGAAACTCAGTTGCTGCTTTTTGGAAGTATGGCAGATAGGCCATCTGAATCCTGTTCTTGAGCTCAGTGTTATGGAGGTGTGGAGCAAGGGAATGAGTCATTCATACTATGTTGTTGCTTACGTATTCCGATTGCTTTTTCTGCTGAATCATTTATTCATTTTATGCTCTGAATAAATGAAAAAATGCATTCTAGATTTATAAAGTACTCTCACCAGCTTTGAATATTATAAATGCTTCATTTTAATGACTTAACTTTTTTTATTAATGCATTTCTTTGATTGCTATAGAGTATTTTGCTCTTCCTTGAGAGAAAAAGAGAGAGTTAGATGGATAGGTAGAATGAATTTGGTAAAACCAAGTATCTCCATGATGTGTGCAGGGCCACTTATTCTTAACATACTTGACTGACCAAAGTGGGTAAATACCTACATTATCTCAGAAGATACTCACTTGAGAAATAAACTTTAAAAATAATTTTTAATTATGAAAATAACATAACCACTTTGTATAATAGACACAAAAATATTAAAAAGAGGGAAAATCTCCATATTACTGTCTTTCTTTTTAAAACATTTTTCATGGTTCTAATCATATATACAGATTTACATCCTACTTTTGTCACTTATTTTCATGTTGCTATATGGTATTCATTGCTCTTAATTTAAATGACTTTCTACTGAACTATAAAAGAGATACCACTTCCTTATGACTTGTTCTTAGCTCTTAAAAATGCTCTAATAAATATCTCTCATTATATTTATGATAGATACTAATCTGTCTTTATGATAGATTCCCAAAATTGAAAAACTTATATCAAAGAATATAATGAAAAAACGCATTCTAGATTTATAAAGTACTCTCATCAGCTTTGAATATTATAAATGTTTCATTTTAATGATTTAACTTTTTTTATTAATGCATTTCTTTGATGGTTATAGAGTATTTTGTTCTTTCTTGAGAGAAAAAGAGAGAGTTAAGTGGACAGGTAGGTAGGTCCCTTGATAGAGTCTCACCACACCACGATCCTCTCCCAAGTCTGCTAGACAGCCAGAATCAAATACGCACAGGTGCACCCAGCATATTTAGGTAGACCCAGGATCCAAATCCAGCCCTTCCACGTGGCTCCAGCACTGCACAGCAGTGCCCTCCACCTGTGCCGCCATGGCTCGGCCATTAAAGGGTGACTTTAAAAATAAATAAATAACTGTATGGGCCAGCAAGTCGTGTGGCATTTGCAGTGGCTGATCCCAAATGGCCAACTGCACAGTTCAAGTCTCAGACCCAGCAGCTTGGGGACATGCCAAGGCATGAATGCGTGCCAAAAAATATCCCAGGAGGAGAATAGAAAAGAGGGCATTGTAGGGTAGTCATCCCACTGGGGGTAGAGTGGGTGCTTTCAGTTTCCTTCTTTCTCTCTCTCTACTGAGTACAGATGCCTTATAGCAAATTTCAAAAACAAAACAAAAAACTAGCTATATGTCCTTTTTTGTAAATTACCAGTTATTATGTAATTCTTTGAGGTGGTTCAAGTGTAACTTACCTAGAAGCGGGAGATGGACCATATAATCTGAGATGCTCATTAATAGTATGATATCAGCCAGCACCACTTCAACTGCTGTTTAAGAACAAAAAATAAGAAACACTGCCAAGAATTGCTGCTTAGTGGCGTAATTGTTTTCATTGTGTAGAACTAATTTTAAAATCACTCCTGTCTTGGGCTAGTCGACAGTCCTGATATATTATGTGAGCTTCTGTATTTTGCCTCACATCTTCTTGCTTCAGATCTGATCAGAATAGATGCTGTTTGAATGACATCTGTCAAGAGGAGAGATTGAAACCTCTTGTTTGAAAGACAAAGCCTCTATATTCTCTGTGTTTTTCCCTTTCGTCTTTTTTCCCCCTAATTATTAAGTAGCTAAGTTATTGTACTGTGCTCTGAATGGAGAGAAATAATTAAAATACTCTTCTTTCTTTTCTTTATAGAATCTTTCCAGTTGTCTATGGTGGCTATTCAACCAAGAACCTGGAAGACTGTATGTTGAGTTACAGTTTTTCTGTGCTGTGTTTAACTTTGGCCAGGTATTTATTTACTAAAAACGTGGAGGGGTTTTTGTTTTCCTAGATGGGTTGATTGGGAGTGGTGGTACAAATATTGTTGTTTTCTTTAAAATCAGAAGGGCTTAGTTTGTTTGCCAGCTGCTGGTGCGGATGACAGCTGACAGCTGCTCCCTGTCTCTCAGTAGAGATGAGTTACTGTACTGGTTAAAGCCATCAGAATGTACACTGAGTATTTTAATCAGAAATGCCAAATAGTTCTTTGCTTTGGTTTTGAGATAAAAGAATGATCATTTAAGCGGCCACTGGATTTCCTCAGTTCTTTTTAAACTTTGTTGTGATCTTAGCAAGTCACTTTGAGAAAATAACTTACCTTCCCAAAGATTTTAGCCACTTAAATTGATGAACATCATTTCATTTACATTTTGATGTTTCTTTAACAATAGGTACTCAGAACTTTTTAAAAACTGTGTAGTGTATAAATTTTGGTCACGGGTAGTAGTTACCATTTGTTGAGACTCTGCTCTGTGCCCACAATTGTTAAGCATTTTACATTTCTTATCTTATTGAACCATCACAACAATACCTGCAAAGTAGATATTGACATCCCAGTTTAAAAATATGGAAACTAAAATATCATGAACAAGTAGTAGGTAGTTGCTATTATCAATGTATAAGTCACTATTAAAGTGGCTACTTGGGAACCAGCAGTTAGCGTAATGGCTATGTCACTGGACTCCCACGTAGTCGACCACGGTTCGCGTCCCAGACCTGGTGGCTTAAAACTCACGCCGGACACGTGTGTGTGCGTGCCCAAGATCCCGAGAGGAGAATGGAGGAGAAGGGATTATGGCATGGCCATCCCCCCTGGGGGGTGATTTCTCGCTTTCTGTCTTTATGTCTCTCTCTGTCTGTCTGGTGAGCACACGCACCCTATAGCAAAAATCTCTCCAAAAAAAAAAAAAGTGGCTACTTAAGGATAAATTACATTTTTACATATTAGGAACATTATTATTATTAATATTATTATTATTTAGTTTGCTGTAGGGCATGTGAGCCCACCAGAGAGACAGGAGAGAGGAGGAGACTGAAATGTATGCCCCCAGCAGGGCTAGGGGGGTGATCGCACCACAATTCCTTCTTCCTTCTCCTTTCAGGATTTTGGGCATGCACACACATGTACTTGGTGTGATTTTTTCAAGCCATCAGGTCCAGGACTTGGACAGCACAGTCGGCCATGTGGGATCCAGCCACCTAACTCCTCACCATCTGCCAACCCAAGAAAACATTTTTATGTACAAATCTCAAATTTTGATCTTTTCTTTAGTGCTCATTAACTAAGTAGAGATTATTAGCCCACAGGTTAAATATCAGGTTGAAAAAAACACTGTGCTTGAAATCAGTGAGTTTGCTTATTAAATCTGAAATAATTTACCACAAGTAAGTTAACATTTGTCAGTAGAGGCTCCTGTAAATTTTTTCCCCAATATTAATTTCTTGAAGTTTTGCCACTATTGAGGGAGCAAAAATGGCTCTGTCTAAAGAGATAACTGTCCTTTGGTCACCCTCTGGTGTAGTGGTTAAAGTGGCTGGAGCCTAGATGGCCAACTGCACGGACCAAGTCTTGGACATGGCTTCTTGAGAAGCATACCAAACGTACATGCATGCAGTCCCAAAATCCCAAAAGGGGAGATGGAGAAAGGACTGATGTGTGACCACTCCCCATAGAGATGCTTTCTCACTTTCCCTCTCTTCCTGTCTCTCTCCAGTAAACACACACACCCTCTGACAATTATTTTTAATGCTAAATAAAACAGAAAAAGAGAAGTGACTCTAATCACTTTAGTAAAAATATGAGCATCCAGGGCCGGCAGGTGGCATGGTGGTTAAGAGTGCTGGACTCCCACATGGCCAACCGTGGTTCCAGTCTTGGACCTAGCGGCTTGTTTTCCCACTTTCTCTCTCTCTCTCTCCCCCCATCTGGTTAGTTTTAAAAATAAATAAAGTTTAAATAAAAATAATTCCTTAAAAATATACATGAGGGGACCCAGCAGGTGGCATGGTGGTTAAGGTGCTAGATACTCCCACATGACTAACTGTGGTTCAAGTCCTAGACCTGGTGGTTTGCTTTCTCACTTTCCCTTTCTCTCTCTCTGTGTCTCTCCATGGTCAAATTAAAATAAATGAATTCATAAATAAAATTAAATAAATAATTACTTTTTTTTAAATGAGCATCCAAAGAGCTATTTGATCCCCATCTTATCTCATGATAGTGTTTTGTCTTTGTTTTTTAATTGCTGGAGGACCTGTGTGCTCACCAGAGGAAAGAAGGGCGCATACCTAGTGCATTTACTCCATCCATTTCCTCATTCTTTTTTTTTTTTTTTTGAGAGGTTTTCCACTATAGGGCACGTGCGCTCGCCAGACAGATAGAGACATAGAGACAGAAAGCGAGAAATCACCCCCCAGGGGGGATGGTCAAGCTGCAATCCCTTCTCCTCCATTCTCCTCTTGGGATCTTGGGCACGTACGCACACACGCCCGGCGTGAGTTTTAAGCCACCAGGTCCGGGACTCGAACCACGGTCGACTACATGGGAGTCCAGTGACACAGCCATTATGCTAACCGCTGGTTCCCATTTCCTCATTCTTTTGAGACTTTGGCCATGCATACATATGTGTCCAGTGTTTTCTTAAGCCACTGGGCTAGTATTCAAACCATAGTCAACCATGTGGGATCTAGCTCCTTTAACCACTAGGGCTATGAGGCAAGCCCCATGGTACTGTTCAAGATTTGATTTTATATCCAAGAACTACAAAATATAAAGTTGAAAACCATAGTGTTACTTAGCACTTAGCATTCAAAAAGTCTACTCTAAGTTGAGCTATCGCAAGGCTGGGATTGAGAAAATATCCTTCAACAGAATCACCTCATGAACTGAAGCTAATGTCAGAAATGCTGCATTTAAAATGTGCCCACACAGAGGCCAGCAGATGGCGTAGAGGTTACATTGCTGGACTCCCACATAGTCAACCATGATTTGGGTCCCAGACCCAGTGTCTTGAAAATCATGCCAGGTATGTGTGCATGCATGCCCAAGATCCCAGGAGGAGAAGGAATTGCAGTGGCCATCCTTCCAAGTTGCTGATTTCTCACTTTCCCTCTCCCTGTCTCTTTCTCTCTCTCTCTCCAGTAAGAGCATGTGCCCTATGGCAAAAACTTCTTTTTTTTTTCTTTTTTTTGGGAGAGGTTTTTGCTATAGGGCGTGTGTGCTCGCCGAAAAGACAGAGAGAGACAGAAAGCTAGAAATCATCCCCCAGGGGGGAGAGTCACGCTGCAATCCCTTCTCCTCCATTCGCCTCTCGAGATCTTGGGCACATACATACACACACACACACACACACACACACACACACGCCTGGTGTGAGTTTAAGCCACCGGATCCAGGACTCAAACTGTGGTTGTCTACATGGGAGTCCAGCGACATAGCCATTACGCTAATTGCTGGTCCTGCAAAAACTTCTTTAAAAAAAAAAATGTGCTCACACAGCTTATGGCTCAAGTGGTTCCAAGAACCAAGAGAGATATAAACTTCAGTCCCATCCCATTTTCTTCTTGGGGAGATGTAAAATCTTTCTCTTCTGTTTATGGTTTGGGATGAAGAAAGTGAGGTCTGTCATGTAACATATTACACACTCCATTCCATCTCCCACCAAGCTGTGCTCAGGTCCTTATCTCTGTGTGCCTGACAAGCGGCAGCTCCCAACCTCCTGTCTCCCCAGGCAGTCCTAAATCGTCCTGCTCTGTGGCTAGAATCTGGTGCCAATTTGCCTCACCCCCAAATCCCTAAGCCCTCTCTCCCTGACAAGTGGCCAGTTTCACTTTACGTAAATTCTGTTCAGTTACTGCATTGTAATTAGATCTTGTGGCACTCATTCATGATATAATTTATGAAGTTCTAATAAATATAATTAGAGAAGTACATAGAAAAATAACAAGTATTTAAGTATAGTGGGAGATAGTTTCTTTTTAGAAAGAAGAAAACAAAGACGTGTAGCCCTTGTATTGCTGGCATTTTTCTTTGGTAAGCTAGCACACAATGTGGTTTGCTCAGCACTGGCCTGTATCACCCATCAAAATGAGAAGGACAGCAGGATTGGGAAGAGGCAGCAAAGGGCCATATCTACCTCCAGGCACTGAAGCTTAGAGGGCCTGCGTTGTGTATTCCATTTACTATGTTGCTCTAATCAGCGTAGGTTTGCTTCCTTGATTTCTGTCTTAAATTTTTATTGTTGAATTAAAAAAAAAATAAAAAGCTAACTTTGTCATATTTCTTAGGGATTTATTTCATTTGGAATCTTTGGCCTGGACAAACATTTAATCATCCTACCTTTCAAAAGAAGGTAAATTTCATTTTGAAATCTACATCGGTCAAAGTGATGACAAAGCCACAGGGATTTGAAAAATAACAGATGAGAATACCCCAACTTGGAGGTGGGACAAAGAGGCAAGGGAACAAATCCTTGCACTTCCTCAATTGTTTTCAAAATCAGAATCAGTTCAAACCAGAAGTGCTCATAAAGTTTATCTTAACAGTCCTATGAGAAGCTTAAACAGTAACTGTTCTTTCTTCTTCTCCTTCTTATTCATCAACACCATCCGTAAGATATAGTAACCAGGGACACAATCATTTCCTCTTGAAGGAGGAAAGCATAATAGCCAGGTCACTGAACTCAGTTATCAGTGTCCTCTGCTGAGCACATAGCACAGTAAACAGTTCTTACTGTCTGTGCTGGCAGATACAAAATTGTCTGTGCTCCCAATCCTGGTATTTGTCTCTGGGTACCGACATTGAAAAATTATTAAATAAAACTTGAGCATTATCTTTGCGTTTCCAAACACTAGAATTTAGAATAAGGAAATTGTACTGGCGGAAATGGGTCAAGCATGTCTGGAGGGTTGGCAGAATGAGCAAGTCCTCTGCCCCAGCTGCTTTGAATAGAGAACTGAATGCAGAACCCTTTTCTGCTTCAGAGACCAAAGATGTCTGGGTGTCGTAAATGACAGCTTTGGTGAATTCTTAAACTTTGGTTTTCAGACTTGAATTCCTATGGAACAATAAGGAAACAGCAGAAAACAGGGACTCTCCTGTTTCTGAGGAAATAAAAATGACATGTCAACAGTTTATCCATTATCACCGTGACCTCTGTATCCGAAACATTGTCAAGGAAAGAAGGCAAGTGCAAGCTCCAGATAATTATGTATTAGATGTTAATTTTGGGTTGTAATGGGCTAAGTAATGTGGCCATGACTAACTACGTGATGGTGTTTTTTTTTGGAGAGGTTTTTGCTATAGGGTGCATATGCTCGCCAGAAAGACAGAGAGACAGAAAGCAAGAAATCACCCCCCAGGGGGGATGGCCACACCGCAATCTCTTCTGCTCCATTCTCCTCTTGGGATCTTGGGCACACACACACACAAGCACCCAGCGTGAGTTTAAGCCATCGGGTCCAGGACTCGAACCACATTCGGCTACATGGGAGTCCAATGACATAGCCATTACGCTAACTGCTGGTCCCCATGATGGTTATTTTTAATAACACACACATATATAAAAGTTTTAACAGCTATGGGTCAGTTTATAGTTTAAAAAATAGCATAGGGGATCAGCAGGTGGCATGGTGGGTGGTTAAGGTGCTGGACACTCCAACATGGCTGAACGTAGTTCGAGTCCCAGACCTGGTAGCTTGCTTTCTCACTTTCCCTCTCTCTTGCTCTCTGTGTCTCTCTCTAGTCAAATTAAAATAAATGAATGAATAAATAGAAGAAATAGCGTATTCAAAAAGCCATACTGATTGTAATCTTTTATATTTTTTAAATGTCAGCTAATTTCTGATTTCTATATAAAATGTGAAAACTTTAGAATGAATCAAAATGTAATAGAATATTAATACTCACTTCATTTTGGCCATTACTGTCTCTCACAGAACTTTGAGATACACTGGATTTGGAAGTGGTATTATATTCCCATCTCGTAGTGGCATTGTTATTTCTTACTACTAATGTTGTTAAGAAAATTAAATGAACTTTCTGCCTCTTCATTAATTCTGCACTTACACTTCACGTCAAGCTCTGATCTTTGGCCTATGACATTATATTCACCTTGTAATCCCCAAGGCACAGAGTGTGCAGCTGGAAATGATGAACTTCGAATAAACAGATGTTACAGTGCCAGCATTTTTGCCTGTCCTAAAAGAAAATCAGGGCTGGCCCTATAGCCTAGCGGTAAAGGGAAGCCAGATCTCACATGGCCAGCCATGGTTTAAGTCTGTCCACAGAAGCTTGCAAAAAACACCGGGCACATGTGCATGCCTGCCCCAAATCCCAACAGGATAGAGGAATAGAGAAGAAAGGACTGCAGTGTGACTAATCCCCACTAGGGGCATGCTTTCTCCCTCTTTCTCTCTGTCTCTCTAGTGAGCACATGTACCCTCTGGCAATTAAAAAAAGAAAAAGAGAGGCTGGTAGGTGGTGTGGTGGTTAAGGGCGCTGGACTCCCACGTGGTCGAGTGTGGTTTGAGTATCAGACCTGCGGCTTGCTTTCTCACTTTCCTCTCTCTCTTTCTCTTATTCTGTCACTCTTTGTGGAAGTTAAAGTAAATAAATAAATATGTTAAATAAAAATAATTATTTAAAAAAAGAAAAAAGGAAAAATAATACAAAACAAAGAACTATAAAGTTAGAAGTAAAATGTGAAAATTACTTTTTAGGATAATTTATTCACATATATTATGCCACTATACTTAACATATGTGTCATTATAATCAGAAGGGCAGCCCAGTATGGATTGGGTGTGGACTAATATTAGAACTCAGTTCCTAAACTGTCACTTATTAGCTGCGTGACACTGTGCAAGTTCAAATTCTCTAAACCTTAGTTTTCCTCTTTCAAATATTTGACTCTTGAGGTTTCAATTACACGATAAAATGTCTGTAATGTGTCTAGCCCACTTCTGGCAATGGTAAGCTATGAAGAAAAGTTAGTCTTCCACCCTTAAAGAGCCATCCATGCCTAGCATCATAGATGATGAAGCCATTTATGGATAGTTTGAACAATTCAAAACTGCATTTTAGGGGATTGACCCCATTGACTACTGGTTAAAAGAGCCAGATCCCACCTGGTTGACTGTGGTTCAAATCCTGGCCTGAAAGCTGGAAAAACATGCCAGGTGCATGAGCATGGGTGCCCCAGATCTTGACAGAATGGAGAAACAGAGGAGAAGGGATTACAGCATGACCACACCCCACTGGGGAGGGGAGATGTTTTCTTCCCCTCTCCCCTTCCTGTTTCTCTGCGGTGAGTACATACACCTTCTAACAAAAAAAGAAAAAAATTAAAGGCCAGCAAATGGCATGGTGACTAAGGCACTAGAACCCACATGACCAACTCTGTGGTTCGAGTCCCAGGCCTAGTAACTTGAAAAACTAACCAAGCATGTGTGCATGCATGCTCAAAAATCCCAAGAGGAGAATGGAGAAGGGATTGTGGTGTGGCCATCCCCTGCCCGCCTTGGCAGGGAAGATGTCGCCCTCTCTGGCGAGCACACACAACCTATGGAAAAAAAAAAAAAAAAAAGCCCACAGTTGAAACTATTTTTTTCCTCAGGTTTTTGCCATTAGGTGCATCTGCTCACCAGAGAGAGACAGTGAGAGGGAAAGTGACAAATCATTTCCCAGGAGGGTGGCCATGCCAGTCTCTTCTCCTCCATTCTCCTTCTGCATACATACTTGGCGTGATTTTCAAGCCACCAGGTCTGGAACTTGAATTACGATTGGCCATGTGGCAGTCTGGTTGTCTTAACCACCACGCCACCCCCTTAAAACTATTTTTTAACATTAAAAAAGAACTCCATGTTAGCTCTGCCAGGCCCATTGTGCTTGCTAGCTGTCCAGAAGCCCAGCTCGTACCATGTGCAGGGCTGCCCGGCTGCCTTGGGTCCATAGGCTTGTGTGTGCTGGCCTGTGCTCTGCCCCATGCCAGGCTTTCCAGCTGTACAGCACCACAGGCCCCGCACAGCTCCGTACAACTGTCGTTTGCTGCCCAATCACAGTCATCAGGAAATAAATGTTCTCAGTTGGTCTCTGGGACAGAAGGTGTTAAGCTATAAATTAGGAGTCAGCAAGCAAAAAGAAGGCTCAGGAACCGGTCACAATATTTGGGTTTTTGTTGAAAGTGATGTTTGCAGTTGCAAAGCATAAATTAAGATATCACTAGGTTGAATACTGATGTTGAAATATTGTGATTTTATGTACTTGACATAATTTTTCATGTATATTAACCTCTTCTCTGATTCTCATATGAGACTCTAATGTAGTAAATATTCATTTGTGGTTACATGTTTTTGAATTTTTGGCCCTATTTCTCATTTCATCTTCATCCACCGTTGCCTATTGTCGAGCATTGTAGGTCCTGCAGTGTAACAATGCTTGTGGACAGAGTCATGTTGTCCACTACAAATTCCGATGAAAATGTACAGAATTCATGTAGTTGGGATCTTGTTTTAAATTTCTCTTTCCTTTGTTTACTTGCTCATAATCAAGGCATCCCAACTGGCATCAGGAAGACAAATTTTAAATAATGAAGCAGCAGTTTCATAAAGTGTATTTTTTAAATCTTAAATTTATAGCAAGACAGGTCTCACTTATTCTTTCCTTGCTTTCTAATGAGGCCAATTCTGACAAACACATCAGTATGGTTGTCTTGGTGTGGAGGCAAGAAGAAAGGCTACTTACGAACACTAAAAGCTAACCGTAATGTTTGATTTGAGTAGTTGAGTAAAGCTAGTCACTCCTTAACTTGTGAAAAGTGTTTAGTATTCTTGAGGCAATTAAATGAGTATAACTAAGAGTGTAAGTTATAAAGGGGTAGATCTGATCATGAAAGGCCATGCTACTATAAAGAGACTTTCTGGGCCTGCTGGTGGCGTGGTAGTTAAGGGGGCTGCATCCCACATGCCTGACTGTACAGTTCGAGTTCTGGACCAACCACTTGAAAAACAAATTGGGTGTGTGTACATATGTGTGAGTGTCCAAAATCCTGAGAAGAAAATAGGAGAAAAGGGATTATGGCACAGCCATGCCCCCCCTGGTGGAGGTGGGGGGAACATCTCTCTATCTCTCTCTCACTCTCTCTCTCGCTCATGAGCACACATGCCCCATAGCAAAAACTAAAAAAGACTATGTCTTGTAGATATATTTGCATTATCTATGTCATTACTTCTGTTACTGTTTAAGTACGTTTGTCCTCACAAGCGTTATTGGCATATTTTAGTTTTCATCCATGGGTCTTTCTAGGGTCAGGCAAGTTAACATACCTTTTCTATTAGGGAGTTTCATTCCTGCCATGCTTTTTTTTTTTTTTAACCTATCATGCTGTCTTTCCTTGTTTCCGTCTGTTTTTCCTTGCTGGTCCTCTGTTGTGCAGTGCTGCTACCAGACTTACAGAACATATGGGTGAATCATTGCTTTGACATACAGGTGTGGTACAAAGACTTCTGCTGGGACCTTCTGTGGCTGTGACCTGGTGAACTGGCTCATCGAAGTGGGCCTTGCCTCTGACCGGGGTGAAGCTGTGATATACGGAGACAGACTGGTGCAAGGAGGAGTCATCCAGCATATTACCAATGAATATGAATTTCGGGATGAGTACTTGTTTTACAGATTTCTTCAGAAGAGTCCTGAACAGAGTCCTCCTGCCATTAACATAAGCACTCCCCGACAGGAAATATATAAGGAGACTGAGCACTCACCTCCATCCTCACTTTCCCCTAAGACCTAACTTACGATGGAGAGAACCCACAGGGAATCTCATTCTAGCCCAAGATCTGCTGCTTGTGAGAGATATTATCTTGGGCAAGTTTCAACCTCTTGGAACCTCAGTTGTGTCTTCTGTGAAATTTTACAAGATGCATTTCCATCTCATGCTCGTAATGTTCTATGATTTTATGTATATGTAAAATATTAACACATAGAAAACTGACAGGAAAAAGAGAAAACCAAATCAAAATGTAAAGTTCTGGTAATGAATGTAATAACCTACTACAAAGTAATATGCCAACATTCTAAAATCATTGCTTTCTGCAAGTGTTTGCTATCGTTTCAGAATCTCCATCCAATGAGCTTTCCTTTAAATTGCCAGATTTGGCAGGTATACTACAGGCAAGGAATGGACCTTTAATTATAACTTAACATTTATTGACAGCACCTTCTAAAAGGAATTTTAATGATTCTAAAAGGAAGTTTTTCTTATTTTCCCATTTCACTGACAAATAGCACTCATTTAAAAACTAGAAGCACTAGTTTTTAAGGTTTATCTTTTTCTTGCTTTTCTATCTAAAGTTTTAATCTGTACCATTACGAAAGAAATAAGAACTTCCATAAATACTATCTCAACAACCGTTCCACAGAAATAGTCTTTCATGTTTATACTACAAGTAATAATTTGAGCTGATTCATTTAAATGTTTTAAACAGAATGACTGCCGTGTGAAGCATCATTTCTGGTATTTGCAGATAATACCGCAATGCAGAAGGATAACTTTACTGCTTGTTCCCTTTAGTTAAAATTTAAAAATTTTAACTATATAGATCAAACCAAGATCTTAAAACTCAAAATCTAGAATCCTACATTACATTTAGAATTTAATATTTTTTATTGTCCATGTATGAAAATCTATAAACTTTAAAATTGCTAAATGTTGCCCACTATCTTAGTCCATTTAGGTTACAATAGCAAAATACCATACAATGGATAGCTTATAAACCACAGAAACTTATTTCTCACAATTCTGGAGACTGGGAACTCCAAGATTAAGGCATTGGCAGATTGGGGTGTTTGATGAGGGCTCAATTTCTGGTTCAGAGATAGTACCTTCTTGCTGTGTCTTCACATGGATTCTGGTGTCTTCAGCTCCTTATAAGGATACTAAGCTCATCATGAAGGCTCTGTCCTCAGGACCTAGTCACCTCCCAAAGATCCCACCTCCTAATACTATCACACTGGGGATTAGGTTTCAACATATGAATTCTAGGAAGACACAAACATTCAGATTTATGAACCTTCAGATAATATTTATCTTAGTAAATTAAAAAGACATCTATTCACATGACCTTTGAACATCTAATTAATTATAGGTGTCAATGTTGGTTTAACTTACTTGAAACTCATTTCAAATGTTTATTTATCTCATACTTTCAGTAGCTCATATATAAAAGCTCTTTCAAACAATCTATGGGGTTAGTGTCATTGTCCTTCTAATGCAACAAATACATAATTTTTTTTAAAAAATCTGCATGGATGTATAGTGTATTTAATATGTAAATTACCCTTTAGTATTAACTTATACCAATTTTAAGTTATAACTAGGGAACAGGGATGTTTTTAAGCAGAACTGTCTTGCTGTGGGACTTTTAAATTTTACTATGACCCCATCATAACTCTCTAAATACCCAGGAGTAAGTGTAATGCCTCATTGCTGTATCAGGAGGCTTTTATCATTATGGTAATAAAGATATTAATTCACCCTGCATGCAGGCAACTCGGACTCAAGTGGAGAATATACTTTGTGAACAAGTCATGCCACATTTGTTTTGTTATTTGCACGAACAAAATCTGCAACATCTTTTCCATGGGAGACACTAAAAGATAACTATGGATCAGAATGATCTGCAGTTACAAATAATGAAAACTTTCATGAAATGTTTTTAGAATTAAGGATATGCTAATTTTGTTAAATGAAAATATTTGTAACTGTTACTTTCTCACTGACAAAGCAAGTTTCTCAATAAAATGCCTATTTTAACTGATTGCTGATATCTCTTCTTCAAGTAGTCTGAATAATGTAGAAACCATCATAGAAGTCTTGTCTATAAAATCTCAGTGTTTTCTGGAAATTGTTCTATTCTTTAAGACCCTATAGGTTCTGCAAACAGGGCTTTGCCCAATTAGGTATTTGATTAACACTTTTTATGAATGAATCAGTATGACTATTAGAGTACTTTTCATACATTAAAATATTTTTGAAAGATTTTACTTACTGCTTTCTTTATTTTAATTTTACCAGAGAGGGATAGAGCAAGAGTAAGAGTGAGATAGAGAAAGCCAGAAAGCAAGACTCCATATCTGTCACTTGAACTACAGTCGGCCATGTGAGAGTCCAGCACCCTTAACCACTATGCTGCCTACTGGCCCCCATTTTATAATTTTTTAAAAGAATTATTTTATTTAACTATTTCTTTATTTATTTATAATTTGACCAGAGAGGGGGAGAGAGACAGAAAGTGAGAAAGCAAGCTACCAGGCCCAGGATTCGAACTGCGGTCAGCCATGTGGAGTGTAGCACACTTAACCACCATGCCATCTGCTGGCCCCACATTTTATAATTTTTGATATGCATGGTTGCAGCTGGGAAAATTATCTGATACAATTCTAATTAAAACCCACACCTTTTGACCTAGGCTTCAACATAGTCAAATGTTTTCTTAACTCTCAATGAGTAATTTCATGCCTAGCTTATGCTTAGCTTTCAATATTTTTAGAGTAAGATAAAGCATACTTCACATTATTCTAAATTTCTAAAAGCAATAAAATGTAAAACTATTGTTTTACATGTTTGCTATGCAGCAAAATGCAGCTCTTAGTTTTTGTCCCTTCATGTAACATCTCATGTAAAATACTAAATTACTTTAGACCATTAGGCATAGGGAGCCACGAGACAAGTGATGGTTTGAAGCATAGTTCAGGATCACAAATATTATCACCATTCTTCAGAAAAAGACAGGATTATAAATTGTTATAATTGGTGTGATATAATCCAGAAATAATGAAAAAAGAAAACAGGGTCAGCCGCTATGGCACAGCAGTAATGCAAGTGCCCTGTGAGACTAGCCACACAATAACCACGGATTCGGGACCAGCAGTTGGCGTAATAGCTATGTCGCTGGCCTCCCGTGTAGTCGACTGCAGTTCAAGTCCCAGACCCGGTGGCTTAAACTCACGCTGGGCATGTGTGTGTGTGTGTGTGTGCCTAAGATCCTGAGAGGAGAATGGAGGAGAAGAGATTGCGGCATGGCTATCCCACTGTGGGGGGGGACTTCTCTCTTCCTGTCTCTCTGTCTCTCTCTTTCTAGCAAGCACAGTGCCCTATAGCAAAAAACTCTCAAAAATAACCAAACAACAACAAAAAACCACGGATTCAATCCCTGCCTGAAAACATACCTCCTGCAAGGATGAAGGGCTGGGGAAAGGGGATCCTGGCATGACAAGACCCTCTTGATGCTTCTGTCTCTATTTCTCTCTCATGCTTGTGCCCATTTAAAAAGAGAGAAAACATTCATTGCATAGACTTGGTTTTGACCAGTTTTACAAGAGTAACTAGTTAAAATTCTATGCTGGGAACTAGCAGATGGTATAGTGGCTAAGGTGCTGGACTCCCACATGATCGACCATGGTTTAAGTCCCAGCCTTGGTGGCTTGAAACTCACACCGGGCATGTGTGCATGTTTGCCCAAGATGCTCAGAGGAGAATGGAGAAGGGATTACAGCATGGCCATACCCTCTGGAGGGTGATTTCTTAACTTTCCCTCTCACTGTCTCTCTCTCCAGTAAACATACGTGCTCTATGGCAAAAACCTAAATCAAAAAAATTCTGTGCTGTATGGGCCAGCTGGGGATGGATGGTTACGGGTGCTGGATCCTATGTGGCCAACTCTGCGATTTGAGTCCCGGGTCCAGAGGCTTGAAAAGCACACTGCGTGTTCACGTGTGCCCCAAATACCAAGAGCATAATGGAGGAGAAGGGATTGCCGCATGGCCTTGCCCTTGGTGGGGGTGTGGGTGGGGCGACGATTTCTCACTTCTCTCTGTCTCTCTCTGGTTAACTCATGCACCCTATGGAAAAATCTAATAAAAAATTCTATACTGTATAATCATTTCTAGGGCAAAATTTTGGGCTGTAGATTAACATATAAATTGATTTTTACATCAAAGATCAAACAAACTAGCTTTCTCTAAAATAGTTTTTTTAGCTTATTCTCTTAGATTATTAAGTAATCGTAAATAATAAGATAATTTGAGGGTTGACCAAAAAAAAAAAACCCCACTTAATTTCTATATTTTTTACTGTTAAGACATGAATGAAATTTAAGAAAACCTTTAATTTTCTAATTATTTATCCATGTAAGTGCCCCAGCCCAAATATTAGATTTATAACATGAAAGTCTCTCAACCTGTTTTATAAATTAACTCAAATATCTTTATAATAATCCTTTTATCTGGGGAGTTATTCCAATTTTTAATGTGGAAAGAGGCAACAGTTTGACTTGTGGCTTATCAAAGGCTACCAAGCTATACAGACAAATTGACTAGCTAACTTTCTCAACTTTACCTTCCCTCAAGCAGAGAAAAGGGTTATGTGTATTCTTCTCATCAGCACATGAATGTTCATTTAACAAATAATTTATTGAACATCTAACAAATACCAGGAACAGTCTTGAACACCAGGCATACAATAAATTGGATTCGTTTCGTCAAAGAACTTCTAGTCTGCTGTGAAAGATGGATGTTAAGGGATTGGATCACATGTGGCTCCAAGAGTATGTAAGTGAAACCTGCCCTTGTGGTGTGGGGAAAATGTCCCTGTGGAAATCACTAAAGAATTAAGTGACTCTACGTAGTGAAACTGAAACTTAAGAAACAGTACAAATTGGGACCAGCAGGTGGCGTGGTGGTTAAAAGTGTGGAACTCCTACATGACCAACTGCGATTCAAGTCCTGGACCTGGTGGCTTGCTTTCTCACTTTTTCTCTCTCTATAGAGAATAGGGAGTAATCTTAAAAAAAATAGAAGGAAACAGTGCAAGTGTTGTAAGATAAATGGAGCAGACCAGCAAGATCTTGTTGGCATTTGTCAAGGACTGTTAAACTAAGAACGGTAAGTCTTGGGACCAGCAGGTGGCATGGTGGTTAAGGCGCTGGACACTCCCACATGGCCAACCACAGTTCAAGTCCTGGACCTGGTGGCTTGCTTTCTCACTTTCTCTCTCTGTCTCTCTCTCTGTGTGTGTGTGTGTGTGTGCGTGGTCAAATTAAAAATAAATGAATAAATAAATAAATAAACTTAAATAAATAATTCAAAAAAAAAAAGGACAGTAAATAAATGAATAAATAAACAATAAGTCTTTAAAAAATTAAAAAAAAAAAAAAAGGACAGTAAGTCTTTAAAAGAATTATAGACTCCATGATGAAAAAATAGCCTGATTAAAAGATCTGGACAACCTCACCAAAGAAGATACCAGATGGAAAAGAAGCAAATAGGAAGATGCCCAACATGTCACTTAGGAGTTGCAAATTTAAACAAGATACAACTACGTATCCATCAGAATGTTCAAAGACCAAAACGCTGACAACAGACACTGACGAGGGCGTGAAGCAAGAGGAACTCTTATTCGTTGCTGGTGGGGGTGAAAAATGGTAGCCACTCTGGAAGACAGTTCACCAGTGTCTTACAAAACTAAACATACCCTTACCATACAATCCAGTGATTATATGCTTTGGTATTTACCCAAGATCAGTTGAAAATTTATGTCTACACGTAAATATGTACTTGGATGTTTATAAAAGGTTTATTTGTAATTGGCAAAACTTGGAAGCAAACAAGATGTCCTTTAGCCGTAGTTCACCTAGACAATGGGGTTTTTGTTTTTTGTTTTGGCTATAGGACACATGTGTTCACTGGAGAGAAACAGAAAGAGAAAAAGCAATCACCTTAGTGAATGACCACACCACAATCCCGTCTCTATTCTCAGGATTTTTAAGCTGCAGGTGCAAGAATGGAACTGTGCCGTCAGCCCTGTGGGATCAAGCTGCCTTAACCACCACACCACCTGGCTGGTCCCAGAGTTAAATGTTTAACACCCTTGGCTGCTATAGCCCCATTGGGAATAAAGAATAAAAATAGGTGAGGGAAAACAGTCACCCTCGGGGTCTGGCTAAGAGACACTGCTAATTTGATCCAGAGGGGTGGCAAGGAGAAGGTGAAAACATGCTGGCCCTAGACAGAGAAAGAAGATTCAAGTATGTGTCCCCTGATAAATCGAAGAACTGCTTGCCTTTGATTAAAAGAAAGGAAGAAGGGACCAGCAGTTAGTGTAATGGCTATGTCGCTGGATTCCCATGTAGTCAACCATGGTTCGAGTCCCGGACCCAGTGACTTAAACTCACAGGGCGTGTGCACATGCGTGCCCAAGATCCCGAGAGGAGAATGGAGGAGAAGGGATTGTGGTGTGGCCATCCCCCCTGGTGGGGGTGATTTCTCGCTTTCTGTCTCTCTGTCTCTCTCGGTCTTTCTGGGCAAGTGCACGTGCCCTATAGCAAAAAATCTCTCCAAAAAAAAAAAAAAGGAAGAAAAGGAGTATGGGGACTAGCTAGTCCTGATGATGAGGGCACACTGTGTGCTGAACCATATGGAAGGCACAGAATCAATTCAAACACGTGAGTCAGGTACCTTTCCGTTCATAATGACAGCGCTCTGTACGACAGGAGCAGTATTAGGCAGCGTACAGTTTTTATGAGAAAAGTTTAAAAAAATAACCTCCTGGGCACTTTTAAAATAAATATACCCTACTCTAAATGACAAAAATATAGCAGAAATAAAACAGGTGGGCTTGCTTCCCTGTGGGAATCTAGGTCGCTAAGGGAAGCGTTACTTGGGGCTCGGTTGGGGAGAGATGGGCAACTCTCAAAAAAGGAGTAGACAATTGAAGGATGGATACCATTGCCTATATTAAAAGCATGATGAAAGGAAAATAAGAAAGCCAGTAATCTCAGTATGAATCAGTCTAGATCTAGATTAGATGGTGGTGGTGAAGAATCCTCATCTCAAGACCATAATCATCGTGAAAATGAGAGAAGATGGCAGCAAGAGCGTCTCCATAGAGAAGAAGCCTATTACCAGTTTATTAATGAACTCAATGATGAAGATTACCGGCTAATGAGAGATCATAATCTTTTCGGCACCCCTGGTAAGACATGGACAAAAAAGGAGACACCCTTATTTTTTCACTAGAAGGAAGAATTTAAAACAAAAGGAGTTTTTTCCCCTTTCTCAAAAATATAGTATACTGGTTTTTGGAAGTTAAAGAACTTTTTAATATAACAAAGTATAAAATCACTGGCTGGCTTCTGTATTTTATAAGTAGGTAAGAATAGTGGACATGTATTGTAGAAATGCCAGACTAACAAACAGGTACATGATAGTATTAAATATTCACATATATGATTATATTTCTCTTAGATAATATTTATACAAATATCACTTAAAACTTACTTGTGGACCATGTGATAGCTTGGAGGTTAGGGTGTCTGGATCCCAAATGACTGACTACATGGTTTGAGTTCCAGACCTGGGGGCTTGAAAAACACACCAGGCATGTGTGCCCAAAATCCCGAGAGAAGTGGAAGAGAGGGATTGTGGCGTGGCCAGCCTCCTCGGGGTTGCTTTTTCACTTTCCCTCTCTGTCTCTCTCTGGTGAGCACATATGTCCTATAGCAAATTAAAACAAACAAACAAAAGAGTTCATTCTAACTGATTTGGGGAGTTAATTTATTCACTTGAATTAATAATCCCCCAGGTCCAATGTGCTCCATACATTTTTTACAAATTCGTTTTACAAATAAACTAAAATGTGTATGTTTATGTAATACTATATTTCTATGATTCATATAATGAAGTACTGGGATTAAATTTAAGTAAATATAGATTTGAAGTTTTTTTTCTAGGAATACTCCTTTAACTTCTTTTTAACTCTGGAAAAATCCACAGAACTTTTTTTTTTTTTTTTAATTTTTACCAGAGAGTGTGTATGCTCCCTGGAGAAAGACAGAGAAGGAAAGTGGAAAGGCAGGCCCCATAGGGAATGATCATGCCACAATCCTTTATCTTCCCCTCCTCCTTTCCTTTGGAATCTTGGGCATGAATACACACTGCCTTATGTGTTTCTCAAAGTGCCAGGTCCCAGTAACTGCATGGTTGGCCACATGGGAGCTAGTCACTCTAACCATCATGCCACAGGCCAGCTTCAGAATCATTGCATATCAACTGAGAATGCTTTACTAGTTATTCAAATTAAATTTCATTTTGATACATTTTAATAAAACATTTAATAAATGAAGCACTGCCAAATTGATGTACATTTGCATCTGTTGAACATTTTAACTGTCTCCATTTTACAGAGCACATGAAAATAATTATTAGTCTGACCATGAATATTTGTAGAACTTGGTAATGTAAACTTAAGTGAGCAATTTTTTTTTTTAGGAGAAATAACATCAGAAGAACTGCAACAGCGGTTAGATGGAGTCAAGGAACAACTAGCATCTCAGCCTGATTTGAGAAATGGGACAAGTAACAGAGGTACTTTGGACTCCTTTCCATAAGAACAAGACTTGATTGGAGCAATTGTAAAAGTGAAATTACTGGATCTTGTACACTATGTTTGTTTGTCATGTTTTCCTAGTTTAATGTGATACTCTTTGGGATACTATTTCTGCTAGTACTATACACAAGGTGCATGGTTAGGCAGGATAGGACGGGGGAGTGAATGAAAAGATGTCTCATATAGCTTACATTCAGGAAGGTTATATAAATGAGAAAATATACAATCAGGTTAATTACCAGCATAATACTTTTTTTGTTTGTTTGCGTTAACATTTATTTATCTTTTTGTTGTGATTTTTCAAACCACCGAGTTTGGGGCTTGAATGGTGGTTAGCAATGTAGGATTCCAACACCTTAACCATCACACCATCTGCTGGTCCAAGCAGCATAGCTCTTTTTGGTTTGTTTGCTTTTTTAGAGAGGTTTTCTTTTTTTAGTTAATTAATTTTTTTGGAGAGGTTTTTGCTATAGGGCATGCGCACTCGCCAGACAGAGACAGAGAGAGAGACAGAAAGCGAGAAATCACCCCCCATGGGAGATAGCCACGCTGCAATCCCTTCTCCTCCATTCTCCTCTCGGGACCTTAGGCACGCACATGCACGCACCCAGCGTGAGTTTAAGCCACTGGGTCCGGGACTCAAACCATGGTTGGCTACATTGGAGTTCAGCGACATAGCCATTACACTAACTACTGGTCCCCTT